TGTTGGAGCACTTCCTCCCTGGGATTTCTGTGACTCCCCAGCCACCTGCCTCTATCACTTGCTCCTGTTGCCCTCTCTGCTGGCTCCTTATTCTCCGCTGGATCTCTAATTATTGGGGCCTTCTCTTTCCCCCGATTTGTGTGTTCTTCCCGGGAATCTCCTAGTTGGAATACGTCTATAACATAATAGCTTCTAAATTTGTGTTCAGGTGTGACCTGTCTCTAAATCTCCATATCCAAGAGTTATTTGATATTTCCTCCCGGATGCCTAATACTCATTTCAGTTTGACCAGGCCAAGCAGAATTCTTGAGTACTTTTCTACTTCTTTCCCCTGGCACTCACTATCTTATTATTTTTAGGGTAACACTTATTTTGCTTATTTCTCTGTCCTCCCTGAAACCAGAAAGCTCTATTATCTATTTCTCCTGTTCAATACTGTATCACAGTGCTTGGTGCACAGTGAGGCTTAACTGACTAGTGAAAGTCTTTGGCATATGTAATATGCAGGGTTTCTGACTCCTGAGTGAAAGAAAGCTTCATATGCCCTTGGATATACACATTTAAGTTAGATCATCATAAAGACTATTTCCTAAATTTAGACCCACCTGGTCTTCTTTTTTGGTTTCTATTTAGACGAAATGAGTGTTTTTTGACAGTGTTCATTGTCACCAGATTCTATCATGCTCCCGTCAGAATATGTGAGATAAGGAGACCCCAAAAGGATCACCCGCCTATGCTTTGCTGCTGCTGCTAAGCCGCTTCAATCGTTTCCGACTCTCCGCGACCCCATAAACGGCAGCCCACCAGGCTCCCCTGTCCCTGGGAGTCTCCAGGCAAGAACACTGGAGTAGGTTGTCATTTCCTTCTCCAGTGCAGGAAAGTGAAAAGTGAAAGTGAAGCTGCTCAGTTGTGTCTGACTCTTAGTGACCCCATGGACTGCAGCCCGCCAGGCTCCTCCGTCCATGGGATTCTCCAGGCAAGAGCACTGGAGTGAGTCGCCAGTGCCTTCTCTGGCCAATGCCTTAGGACTCCCTGAAAAGGCTTTTTGGGTCCTCTGCTTGCAGCGTAAGCATGAGCTCCATCTCACAGCTTGTAACCTACTCTTAGGAGTGATAACTCATCCACAGCACAGGGAGGCAGAACAGCTTCAACTCTGACTTAACCAAGACCAAGGGCCCAGCAAGAGAGGATCAAGCTGGAGCTTTATAATAAAATGAGGGAGAAGAGATGACATGTTAGAAGGGCATGAGAAAGCAAACAAAAAATATACCAAAAACAGGTGGCAATGGCAGACCTAAGAGAGGATGTAACATGTCTGGGATAGGATACCTTGTGTGACCCTTGAACATTAGGTATGAGATCTGATCCACCCCAGGGGCCTCTAGTATTAGAATAAGCTCACTAAATATAAGTGTGGGCCCGAGGGGGCGCCAGGATGCATTTCAAATGATTACCTTTGAATAACGTCACCCTTGAATTTATGATCTGCTAGAGTCAAAATCTTAGGGAGAAGAAAGCATCGCCTGCCACCCCGCGCCAGCAGCACAAACACGTGCGTCAGCCCTTCTTGCAGAGGCAGGGGGCTGCCAAGGGCAGAATGACCCTGGGCTTTGATTGTGGAAGAAATAAAACCTTCAGTCAACCTCGGCTGTGGCTGGTAAAACTTCCAAGCAACTTTGCAGGCTCCACTCCTGCAAGTGGGGAAATCTGACTAGAGACAGAAATGAGAACAGTCCTCACTGAAAACAGGGGAGGTGGATTCTGTGAAGGAAACGGTTCTCATGGCAACAGACTGCCCAATGGAGAGGCTGGAAGACTTGCAACACAGTCTCTTAGCTTCCACACATGGGCTAGATGAAAATGCTGGGGGAAAAATCCACACTCCAGGCGCACCTCTGCTGTGTCTTGCTGGGGAAGGGAGGAGATGGCTGGTTCCTGAGGTCTCCCCATCTCTCCTGTTGTCAGGCAGGGCTCTATTAACCGCAGACGAATCAAAATCCCCCCCGGGCAGTGGGACTCCTGGATTGGAGATGTCAAGGAGTGGAGAAGGGACAGAAACTGCAGCATCGAAACCTAAAAATGTATTTTATTTAGAAGTTGTGCTTTGGATTTTCCCCAATCCAACATCTGTTGAGTGACAGTCTTAGGTTCACACAAAGCATCTCCAAGCATACATACAATATTCCAGTTATCAACACTATTTTAAAGAATATACCATTTTACACAAACGTGACATACAAGTCAGACGTCACAACATTGCAATTCCCTGGAAGATCTAACTTCTCTTCTGAACATAGTACGTATGCACCAGCCCTTCCAGTGGTCTGTTCATCCTGTTGCTGGCGTCATCTCTCCTCATCTCTTTGGGGAGAAACCAGGGCGCCCTGAGGAGGTTGGCTGAGACCAGTGTTTCCAGTTTACAGGCTGCTGGCTGCAAACTCCTCTCTTTTCCAAACTGGGATGCTGGTAGCTCCACCCCACCTCTGTGTCCCAAAGACTGACCCATCCGAGTCCACACCAGGAAAAGGATCCAGGCCTCCAGGGGCAGAGTGGGGCTCTTTGAAGCATCATGCTGGTTTAGGAAGCTAATCTGAGGAAGACTGGTCTCCCGAGACCCTGGGTGGCCAGCTCTGCTTGGCTTTTCGGTGTAAAAATCACAGTGTGTAACCTCGATTCCAGTTGATCGCAATGAACTCTGACGAGGACTCTCCTCTTGGGGTTCCTAGTCCTCAGGGCAGGACCATCTCATCGGTGTCAAGAGCACCAGAGAGGGGAAGACAACTCAGCGCCCGGAGAGGGGGTAGCAGATGAGCACTCACACACCGTCCAGTCCGTGATGCAGATCAGCAGATGGGCCCTGACCGCGGGGATGGTGAACACAAGTCAGGTGCAGGGCTGAAAGAGACCTAAGGCAGGAGCAACCGAACAGGTCCAAGGTGTTTTCATTAGGGAAGCTTTGCCTTTTCTTTCTTGAGAGAAGGACGTGCCAGGAAAAGAGGAAAAGGGCAGGTATGGGCACCAATTTTGACCAGTCGGATCAGAAGGAATGTAAGTGAAGGGTGGGGTTTCATTTTCAGCAAGGAAACAGATCCTTGGCTATGAAAGCCCTCCGTTGGCTCAGGGCCTGCGTAAGTTCCGGTGACAGACAGGTCAGGCCACCACACAGAGCAAAGAAGCTGAGAATCTGGAGGACTGTGGGTTGCCTCCCACAGGCTGACACGCTCACTGAAGGAGCTCTTCATCTTTCCATCCTGGCCTGTGGGATGACTTTCCGGATGCTGCAGGCTGCTTTTCTAACTAGCAACTTTCCATAGAGCTCCTCTTTTGCTTCACGCTGAAGGAGGAAAATTCTACCGCTTTCCATAGAGACGACTACCAGCTTCCAAATGTTGATTCGAAAAGGATCTTTTAGGCCAAAGTTAAGACAATTTAGATTTTCCTATCTGAATGGCAACCCACTATCTTTCCTAAACTGTGAGAAACAAGGCAAAAAGTGCAGCTTTAAAAACACCAGAAAACCGAGAAGAGGAATGAGTTTCAGCTTTAACTCAAGTAGTCGTCTGAGACCCATGAGCCTGGGGCGAGCCCATCCCTAGGTCTGATCTCCTTGGGACAGCATGATGCTGGGAGAGTTGGGGGAGCTGGGACCAGATCTGGAGAGTGATTAAAGCAGACAAGCTTTTTTGATTTTTGGAGGAGAACCATAAAGGCCAAAGGGAGTCCAAAAGAGTCAGCATCCAATTTTTGATTTTCTTAGATTCAGGCCTTGGAAAGATTTTAAAGCCCATGAGGCCAGAGTTCTCTTAGTTGTCCTTGTCCAGATAAATAGAAATCAGTTTTAAGGGGCTCTGTCTCTCTTTAATCTAACTAGGGCTCCCTAAGCCCTATTGGTCCCTGAAGAGAGACCTTGTAGAATGACCCAACTAGGGGGTAAACTTAGAATAAATTTTCATTTGGGAACGATTTTTAGATTAGCAAAGCTGAATTTAATTTTTAATAGGGTAATAAATCTTATGTCTTAAGTACCCCAAAAGGTGGGAGGAGGGACCCATTTCTTACCTTTTCCAAACCTGCCACAAATACAATAAAACTGTCTTAAGACTCTTTACCCTAAAAGGAACCAACTATAAAACTGTCTTATACAGGAAAATGTCTTAAATGGAAAATGGTCCATCAGACACAAAGATAGGACCCCGAGAAATGTCTATACATTCAGAAAAACTTTAGAAGTTCCATAAGATTGGGTTGTAGTTCCAGAGAATGGAGGAGAGCAAAAGCAAACACCAATGACCAATTCACACCAATAGAAAGAAGACAGACAGTCCCAACCCCAGACAGTTTACAGGATCGAGTCCCATCCTGCTAGATTTCGTATGATGGAGAGATTGCAAAGGCTAGGTCCTCTGGCCCAAACAGAATGAGATTTGTAACGGAAACAGAGACCCCTGGTGGCTGCTGTATGAACTGCCGCAATAACTTACAAAGAGACGGTCTATCTAGGACCAGGGGAGGCTACACATGCCAGAGACTAGAAAAACCTACGTGTGTGTGTGTGTGTGTGTGTGTGTGTGTGTGTGTAAAACGGAGCATGGACTGTATATGATCCTCCATAATCAGTACCCAAACAAGACGCCACCGAGAGCCCTGCCGGCGGCCGGCCGTCTGGCTCGGCGGCCGGTGTCCGCGGGGTCGGGCCGCTAGCCCAGGGCCCGTGACCGGCCTCACCAGGCTTCACAGTGACTGATGGTGGACACATCCATCTCCGGCTAACCTAAGGACTGCATGTACTGTAGCTGGCTGGGTTACGACGGCTGGGTGCGGCAGGGGGCCGGGGGCAGGGCGATACCGAGGGCTTCATTCTCAAGGTTTTGGGTGACGGGAAGGCAAGAACAACTTAGAACCTAAGTTTCAACTGAAGTCCCCAACTAGTTAAATAGGAAGGTTTTTAATAACAGTCAGTCCCTCTAGTCCCCTTGTCTAGGAGAATTAAATTACGCCCCTCAGACAGTACAAGACTTGTCAGCGGACTGTGGGGAGGCGGAGGAGCCGACGCCCGGGCTGGTGGCGTTCGTTTTGGGGAAGACGGCGGGCTTGGGCCGCGTGGCCGGAGGCTTGAGCGGCGCCGCCATCTTGACAGACTTGACGGGCCGGAAGGCGCAGGCGATGTCCCCCGCTGTGCTGGCGCTGCGCTGGAAGGCCGGCTCGGGGTCCTTGAGCAGCTGGGCGTGCAGCGGGCTGGAGGGCTCCGAAGTGGGTGCCACCACGGGGGAGGTCTTGAGGGGCTCCAAGGTGTCCAGAACCACGTCCGGCGCGTGCTTGACGCTGCTCTGCCGCTCCAGCTCCCGCAGCTCATTCAGGGCAGAGTTCATGGTTGCCTCAATATCCTGCGGACGGGAGAAAGGAGGGCGTGAGGCTCACGGAGAGAGAAGCGCCCCTGCCAAGGTCCTCTTCCAACAACGTGGGCTGAAGCGTGGAGAAACCCCCTGCGAGGAGATGTCCAGGTGATTTTATCCGGCCCAAACCCTTTAACATGTGGGTGTTCAGATGGGAGGGGAAGACTTGCATTCTCATGAGGTTCCCCACCCTCACCCAACTTTAGAGACAGTGGTTGAGATTCTTTTTAAATACAGCCCTCAGGTTTTACACACATGCACTGATGTATCTCTGGATATTGTTGTTTATTTGCTAAGTCATGTCTGACTGTTTTGCAACCGCATGGACTAGAGCCCACAGGCCCCTCTGTCCCTGAATCTCCCAGGCAAGAATACTGGAGTGGGTTGCCATTGCTTTCTCCAGGGAATACTCCCGACCAAAGGGTCGAACCCACGTCTCCTGCTTGGCAGGCAGATTCTTCACCATTGGGCCGCCTGGATGAGATGACCCGTAATCCAGCAGGGAGTAGAAAGGCGGATGAGTTCGGAGTGGCCAGGAGTTTGGTCATGAGCACATGGGATTCAATGTCCATGGGATACATGTTCTACTTTTGCTTGAAACTGTACATAATAAAATATCTTTTTTTAAAGTGGTAGAGATGAAGTATGATCTTTGTTATCTTGGAATTTAAAGGCCAAAGGTTATGAGAGTTAGTCCTTCCTCCTCAAGGGCTGAGGAAGGGTCCAAGAGCCCTGGCCTGGTGTTTTCATCAGGACACTCCCCCACCCCCAGCCTGCCCCACCCTACCCCATGAGAGTGTCCATCTTGATGAAGCCATTTCCTTCCACCCATCACCATGGGAGGGGACCAAGGAGTGACCAGGAGGGGGCGCCAGAGCCCACATAGGCCAATCTCCATCAGGTCACTACACCAGATAGTAGGAAACAGCAGCCCTAGCTCAGGGGCTCAAGGCAGAACCAAAGACCCTTTGTATGCAGCCAGCTGCCTCTCAGGAAGACCTCCCAGCTTCCTCCCCTCCTCTCCACACACTCTGTCTGGCACCCCCAAACAACCACACGACTCCTCCCTTGGGATTAAACTCACATGGAAAAATTGCAAGTTTTAAGCAAAGGCCTATAGGGTGATCCATGCTTTCTGTTGACAGTGGTTCAATTTCACTCATTCCTCCGATGCTCTCAAACCTTAAAATTGTTCAGAAAGAACTCTGTCTCCCTCCTTGGTCCTGCTCTGCAGCTAAGGTTATGTATGTAGCTATCCCAGATATGTAGCTATTCTGACATTCCTAACACCTGGCCAAAGAGGGAGCTGGGAGGATTCCTGGAGTGCAAGGCGGATTGCAGCCAAGAGCTTAAGGGGAGACACGAGAACAGAAGGCTAGCCAAGCAGGACATCTCAGGCCCATAGCTTAATACTGTGCTTGCCAGGTACACCCTCCCTAAGCAGAGCACCACAATTAAGCCAATAGAGACCACACCCAGTCTCTATTGCCCCCTGGAAGTTGGGGTGAGGAGACTCTCAACTCAGTTGAGACAAAAAAGGGCAGCAGTGAGCCCTCAGTTCCTACCTGGTCTAATGAAAGTTATAGAGTTGGGAGAGACGTCTGAGTGAACTGCTTGGAGTGGCCCCGAGAGTCGGATTTTTAGAGGTGGGGCTGGATCTCTAATAATTTCATGGAAAACAGAGATTTGTCAGTGTTATGCATACATGGACGGAAGACCCTGTAACCAGGGGGCTCATCTCCACTGTCTCTGGAAGCCTGGGTTGGAAACCTTTCTGGTACCCAAGTCCCCAGTGGCAGAGTAATCTGGGTCCTTCACAACCAGGAGCAGATTATTGATTGGTCATTGGTCTGTCACTAGGAACAGAGATTAGCCTCAGGGATGATGAAGATGGCATACGGATATGAAAAGGTGGCCAGAACCACTTCTGAGTCTCACCATTTGGGTAATTTCACTGAAATCTACCAGGGCATCAAGTCTCAAAACTTGGGCTGAATGGGTTCCATCAGAAATTCTCCATCTGTAACTACTAGCTTTAAAAATTACAACAGGTTTGCAAATAGCCCATGTATGAGCAAGAAACCTGCATTCTTTTATTCTGTCTTTGAGTTCTTTCTGGGGAGAGAGGGGTCAATGAATTTCTTGGAAAGTCATGTTATCAGGTCTAGGTGTCCGACAGAGCCTGAACTCAGCGTATAATGTACAAGGCACATTTCTGACTCAAGTCTCGCAGTCGTGAGCGTGGACGACATAAGCAGCAGTGACGAGCATAGACTCACGGTACCTATTTACCCAAGAGCCCCTAGTTACCTGTGCAATGACCTCAGGGTCCATGGGCCGGTGGTTATTGAAGCTTTTTGACCTTCCTGCTGTCACTGTCTTCCGGATCTGTGGACTGTCCAGCCGATTCTTCAGCGACGAGTGGCGGCTGATGGAGTTGAGGCTTCCATGCCCACTGATGGAACACTTATCCGGCCCTTCCTTGGGGAGGCTCTGGCTCAGGATGGGCTGGGAAGACGGGCGGCAGCTAGCCCCCACCCCCGGGGAGGCGGAATCAGTCAGGGAACTGCTCAGCCCGTGGCCATCGCTCCGAAACGTTTTCCGGATGCTCCCAGATTCTGGCCGCTTCCTTTGCCTTCAATGACAAACAGAGAGGGCAGTGTCATCAGGGAGCCCTGGCTCCGAGGAAGCCAAGATGAGTGAGACAGAGGCAGGTGTGGGCATCCAGGGACTCCGGGAAGGAGAGGACTCTTGTTTCACCTTCCCTGGATTTCTCTGGGTCTGTCCCCCTGCCACCCCCAACCTGGGCAAAGGAGAAACGGATACTTACTTGGTGGTCATAGGCTTTGAGTTCTTGAGATGTAAGGTGCTGTCAGAAGAAATGTCTGATTAAGTGAAAGTTTCTAATGGGAGACAGACTCATGAAAAGGCACCCTCCATTACCTGCTTTGAGTGGAAACCAGGCCCCAGATAGGAAAAAAGTCTCTCCATTACCAAGTAGATAGGGAACTGATGGTGAAAGGAGAGTTGACTTTCCCAGATTTTAGCATGTTTCTTAGTCCACTGACGAGACTGTAATTATTTTGGGCTTTGGCAAGAGGCTGTCGTTGCTCACTCTGCAGACATGGAGGCTGCAGTCCTACACAGCTCGGGCCACACTTGTGCATTTTCTAGGCTGGGAATACATCTATATGACCCTAAGTCACCCAGCACTGGGCTGAACCCAGGCTCTGAGTCAATTTGTTTCAGCCTACTAAGGCTCTCAGATGAAATGGTTTGGCAGAATCCTACTCATACGGGTGTTGCCTACTGCCGAGTAATTTCATTATCTCTTGGAATCAGATTTAAAAGATCTAAAGTAAGAGGCATGAAACTTTTGGTTTGGGATGGCCACTGGGCAGCTCTCATCTTGAATCTACTAGGGGCCTCTGAGGCTGAGGTGGGAGTTGGGGATGGAAGAAAGGAAGGCCCAGCATGGTAGGCCCTCAAGATAAGGAGCTAGTCCTTGGGGCAGGGCCAGGATTCTAGCCAGTCCTGGTCTTATTCACTGGGGAGGTCTTTCTCGTCATAAATGGGATCTGGCACATTGTTGCCACTCATGAAGCTGCCTGCCCTCAGTAGCTTTAGCCTTGGGGGTCAGCCACTCTTGAGTGGATAAAGGATGTCCTCAGTCTTATAAGGTACAGTTGAAATGACCTTTCTTCCTCTGCAAAGTCTTTTCTGGCACCCACCCCCAGTGGTAGGCAGACTCGATCCCTCTCGGTTCTGTTCCTTCAGGGCATCTGTGGAACCACTTTTTAGTTCCCTGTGTGATGGTGTTCACCTTGCCAGACCGAGCGCTCCGGGCAGGGAACATCTCATTCCTCTCTGAATGACTCAGCACGGCAGCAGGTGCTCAGTAAACGTGTGGAGCTGAAATGAAAGGCCACACCCTGGTACCTCTTTGCTGATTTCCTCTTTCCACTTGAGGAGGGCTGACTCACAAGGCCAAACTGCTGAGGAGGCAGACATATGGAGTGGCTGGTGTGGTCCAGGCCCCCAGGATGTAAAGACAGGGAGATAGGGCTCCTGGTTTCAAGGGATCTGAGTCCAGCTTGGGTCCTGAGATTGCTTTGGGAATACAGAATAAGGGCACCTAACTCAGCCCTGAGGAATTCGGGGGTGTCAGATAGGCTTCCCCAAAGAGGTCAATTGTCAGATTGAGTCTTGAAGGGAGGAGAATCGATTGGGTGAGGAGACAGCAGATGGGAAGGTCCAGGGACAAGAGAGAACCCAGGGCACTCAGGAGAGAAGGAGCACTGCGGGGAGAGGTGAGTGGGGTGGGAGGTGCGGCTGAATCAGTCCGAAGGGCAAGATGTGCCGGGGATCCGCTGCTCACCCCTGACCAGCGGGTAGTCTGGGCAGACCATGTCCTCCAAGAGCCCATCCTGATACCCCAACCAAGGAGTTCACAGGAACTGTACCAGATGTTCATCTGTTGACTGTTCTGCTACTACTCTCTACAATTCCTTTGTACAAATGGCAACAAATATATGACGGCTTAAAAATATGTACCCGACTAATTAGCTAACTCTCCCTCTACCGACCTTGCCTTGGTTTCTGGGTTAATTATAGGCTTACAACCTTATGATTATAGGCTTATAATTAACACAGACTTGTAAATAAGGAAGAAAATGCGATCAGCCCACAGTTAACGTTTTACTAGCTGGCCCTCCCAACAGGGTATGAAGCTGGAGGGAAATGAATAAAATCCTCAGTCTTTTTTACTAGTCTGATTTAAATTAGAACTATACTGGCTAAGTGAGCTGAATCAGCTACTTTATGAAGAAGAGGGTGAAAGAGATGGAAAAGAGCCACGTGCCCCAAACACTCCCCCTGCTACCGTCTGGTTGGAATAAAGCCAAGAGATCTGGGCGACCTGGTGCAGTTTAAAAACAACAAGCATCTTTTATTCTCCTTCCAGTTTCAGTATCCAGAGGCTATGGTTAACAGGTTTTCAATGTGCAAATCATTTCATTCCTCCAAAGCCAGAGGGGAATAAAAGCTGTACATCATCGCCAATCCATATTCATCGGGAGCGCCCTGGGGCTTGTCATCCTGCTGGCACTGGGCCAGGTTTCAGGGTCTGGCGGAAAGAGGTCTGTAGGCTTTGGGACTTGGTGTCTGGCCCCTTGAGATGAGATTAGTTCTCCAATAACCTGAATGTCTCTAGGGGAGGCAGCAGCACACGGGCGTGGAATCCCTCTAGACGGCCAGATGGGGCGTGAGTGGAGTAAAAACCCCAGGATGTTGCTAACAGCCACAAGGAAAGCCGGGGGCCAGAGTTACGAGCCTGCTGGATGGAAGTGGGCATCTGCACAAGGACTAGTAGGGTAGGATCATACACTGGCTAAAGCGGTAGGGGAAAATGGCAAGTTATTCCTTCGGGTGTGAAAGGGCAAGAGGAGAGGGAGCCGGCGTTAGACAATGAATGAAGATCTCAGGACGGAGCTTTCAGTGGGGGTGGGGAGTGGTTTCCTTTCCTCCAGGGGAGTGAACGCAGGACGAGGGGGAGACAGACACACGGGAAAATAGACCATCGGGGGCAACGTGAACCTGGCTGCAGACACATGAGACTTTGGATTTTTGAACAGACAGGGCCAAGGAAGACGTCAGACTATTATTGGAGTCAAAACTGAAAACAAGAAGGCACCTCTGAGAAACAGTACAAAACTAAGCTGCGTGAAGTGACTGCAGCTTTGGCCAGAGTTTTAGCAGTTGGACGGCCGGGAAGGTCTGAGCGGACAGCCGCTGCGGGGACAGCAGGGTGTACCTGGGCCTCGGGGCGACGGCCGCGCCGCGCCTGCGACGTCTCCTTGGCCCTGTCTGGCCTGCGGCAGCCGCGGGCACATGCAAGCGGTCGGGCCAGGCAGCGGGGGCCCTACGCGCAGCACGGGGACGGAGGGGTGGTTAGGCCAGAGGGCGAGGCTGGGTGTCGCAAGTCATTCAGGGGAGCAGAAAATGAAAGGCAGAGCTTACTTGTTGATGTTTGCAAGATAAATATCGGCTACATGACCCCCACTGGGACAGCTGGCCCCCGCTCTGGCTGTCACCTTTTCTTCAGGTGGCTCAGAAATGACCTCAATCTCAGACTTGGGGCTGGACCTCTCCACGACACCGTCCTCGCTGGGGCAGGAGGGGCAGGCAGGCAGGGAGGAGGGGGAAACAACAACACAAAAAGCAGTGTTAAATCGGCAAGATGGCCCCCCCAACACACACACGCGACCCCGCAATGGCTCTGAGGCAGCAGCGACGCCTGGCTGGGCTCGGGGAGCGGAGGCAGGGGGAGCTACGGGCCTCTGGAGGGTCGCTTAAATACAAATAAATAATCCTGTCGAGTCCTGCGGGGTCCTCAGCTCCTCCGGAAAGCTTGGCTAGGGGACACCTGGATTCGCGGCATCTGCCTTCTACCCCTCGCTGCTCTCCTGGGGCCGCTGTGCCAGGCCACCTTCCTGCAGGTTGCGGTTTATGTGCTCAGGTCCCGAGCAGCGCTGGGGAGGGACAGTCAGCTCTGCCGCGGCTCTGGAGGTGCCGGCGTTGAGGCAGGACCCCGCCACACTCTGTCGTAGAGCATCCAGCCCCGCTTAGAGCGTCCAAGCCGGTCCCACTTCTCGCCACTGCTCTCCCGGCCCCTCTGGCTACTGATGACAAAGAAAGCCCCTTCTCCCCCACAATTCATCTTCTCTCGGTCCTGTGGTGAAGTCATAATGCTAAATTTGGGAGGGTCCTGTCCGCGCACAGACGGCCACCAGGTATGCGATGTTATCAACAGAGAGAGGACTTCCCCGCAGAGCGAGCCGGGGAGAGGCTTGGGAGGGTGCAGACTCATTCAGGATATCAACCTTTAAAAAATAATATTAAGGGAAGGACTAAAAACACTGACAGCATCGTATCCAAGGGGAGTCGGGGGCAGAGGCGGGGTGCTAGGGCATGAGGGCAGGTCTGGGGGGCCACGGGGAAAAGCCTTCCTGAAGGGGAGACACGGCCTCAAGGGGCGGGACTCCACAGACAGCCCATGCGAGGAAGTCTGTCTGCGATCGCCCCACAGCCCTCGGCTCCCCGACGTTCCTCCCCATCCTCTCCCCTGTCTTTCTCCAAATCAACCTCATTAAATGAGCTGGGTTATTTCCACAAAGCTGCTTAAGCTACATTTCTACTAGAAAATGAGCTCAACATTTTCATTTACAAGTGGAAAAGTGCCATCAGTGACCCAACAGGTTGGGGTAAACACGATTGTTTTAAAATAAAAGGGAAAGAGAAATCAAAATGTTTTCCCAACCTGACCGTTCCAGAAAGGAACTGTAAGTGGTCGAATAATTAGCCCTCATTATCACTCATCAGGTATAAACGTGGATGAGCGTGGGCTGGGGATGGCGGAGATGTGACTGGCAGAGGAGTAGAGTGGAGAGATTGAAAACAATACAATTCTCCCCCGAGTCTCTGACACTGGGCACCTTTCCAAGGAAGAGCAGCGCTCGCAGGCCGTGCTGGCGCCCCCTAGGGCTGGTCTCCCTCACCCTCCCAGGCTCCAGAAGTGAGGACTCACTCCCACAGGGCGGCCAGGGGCCCTTAAGGGTGCAGGGCGCCCAACGTACGTGTCTTGGACCACGATGTACTGATGGGGGATGAGACCGTCGATGCCGTTGTGCCGGCCTTCCCACCAGTCGTCGGAAGCCCGCTGGTAAAGCAGCAAAGATGCCCCCTTCTTGAAGGACAGCTCTCGGGCTGTGCGGCCCACATAGTCAAACTTGGCAATGGCCTCGATGGGCTCACACTCTGAGAGGGGTGGAGAGAAGGAAACACAGGCTGCTTGGACTCACAGACTCGGCAACTGGGTGGAAGAGCCCAGTTAACTGAACTCACGGTGGTGGGAAGATAAGCTACAGTGAGCATAAGTCACGGATGACATACAATAGCCAGTGACTCCTGAGCAGATGGTGCAAACCCCTGAAAGCACTTGCATGCCCTTCCTTGCCCTTGCTCCTGCTGTTCCCTCCACCTGGAATCCCTCTTTCTCTTTCACCTGCCTGATGAAACACACTGAGTCACAACTCAAACATTGCTTGCTTCCTCGAGTAACTTCCTTTGTGTTTCCATAGTGCTTTATGCCAACCCCTATCATCGAACCTGCCATACTGTAGTTGTAAGCATTATTTCCTTTTTGGCTGTAAAATAACTCCATTAATTTAGAACACTTATTATTGCATTTTAAATAATCTATTTAGGTTATCCATTCCCCCTACTAGAACATGAACTTTTAGTCTCTACAAAGAGAAAATAACTTACCTAATCAGCTTTCCAAAGAGCAAAACATGGAACTATATTTTGTGAACAATACATGGAAAAATACACATTGAAGTGATTTGAAAAATTAACAGAGGTTTACAAAGGCAATGTACTTCTACTTCTGTATAAGCTTCCGTTTCCTCATGTATAAAACGAGGATAAGAATAGTGCCTTTTTCATGAAGTCGGCATGAGGAGTCAATAAATAACCATTTGTAAAAGTGCTCAGAACAGTGAGGGCCCAGAGTAAGCGGTGCCTGTATCAGTCACTGTTACTACTGTATCATTTCATGGTCTGCTCTGGGCTGCAGGTAGAGGTTGGAGAGCAAAAAGAAAGATCCCAGAAATCAGGAACCTAGGGTTAAAGTCAGATATTCTGAGTCGTGGAAAGAAACACTGCTCTCAAACAAGACCGCACCTAGACACTCAGGGCTGTTGGGTCTGCTGGAGAATTCACTACAGCAGGCCTGTCTCAATATCCCAGGCTCAGTTCCGTACAGCCTTGGGTTTGTCTCTGGCCTCAGTTTTCTTAACTATTAAATAGCAGCTCTATCAATTTCATTAGGGAGTAAGAGATAAGACATAAAGCCTTTGGCAGTGCCGGGGAACACTAGGCTGTAATCAAATACAGATTTCCCTAGTTCATTGACTGTCCTCCCACTGTGTGGCAAATTATCATATTGATCCATTTGAACTTAGGAGCCAAATAAGCAATCCTAATTTTTTTTTTCTCCTTTAAAAACTGGCCTAGGTTTGCAGAATTCATGGCAAGGCAGGGAGCAGGGAACACTGAAGATTGTGCCATTTCGTTCTCGTGCCCAGAAAATTCTGAGGCCCCGTCAGCTGCCGAGACTTCCAGAGCCCAGGCGATCCAGAAATGGAGGTGCAGAACTGTTGGCAAGACAGGGAATGTGCTGGCCGGACAGACCCTAATAAATCATGGGCACCGCCAAGGCCCACGGACGACAGCTGTGCATTCCAGCTCTCGACGCACACCCGCCAGGCCGCGCAGTGCATGTCTGCGCTTTGGAAAGGGTCAATTTTTCCAGTCGGCAGGCGTGAGAGCATGTGGTTTCTGCGTCCTGATTCCCACCCCACTCTGGCTTGCTTCTGCTGGGTTCTTGGCATCCAGCTTCACTATTCCCCGGGCCCACTGGTTTTCGAGTGAGCACTCCTTCACTTTGGTCTCCAGCTACCTGTCAGGAGTCTGGGCTGTGACAAGGGACCGGCAGTATGCTGGCGAGACAGCCAGATGACACCGGAGCTGGGAGGTGGGTGAGGCGCAGGGAGCTAGGGCGAGAGGGCGGAGGGCTGAGGTCCAGCCCTGCACCTCTGCTCTAAACAGAGACTCCTCGACCTGAGGGGTGGGCTGTCCCTCCAAGAAAGGGACGGAGTGAGCGTGGGAGCCAGGAGAGCTGGGGGCAGCTCCCGGGAGACTGCAGGGCGGGAGTGGTCAGCAGGAGCACAGGATGTGTCACCGCTCCGTCCTGCTTCACGCCCCAGCGGCCCGGGGACCCCGCTTGGGGCTCGTACCGTCATCACTGGTGTGGTGCTCTGTGGTCACATCCTGGGTTGAGTCTTCAGCCGAGGTAGTCTCTCCGTGAGGGCTGTCACTGCAACAGAAGCAAGAGGAACCAAAATTCTTACCTTTTTCACACAGCTTCCTTGGGCATGGAATCTACCCTACACTCTCGAGTCCTGATCACACACTACAGGCAGATGCTTATAATGAAACACAGGGCTCTGGGAAGTCTCTAGGCTAGCTCCTGCTACAAAAACTACTGGAGACTACATGGAACTTACAAACATCTTGACACAAAGGGAACCTCATTTCAACTTAGAAATCTTCTCAAAAATATAGAGTGACTCAGCTCCTCAAGGCCCATTTCTTTAGGTGAATTAGTTCCTGGTGGTAGCAAGGTGGAAGGGAAAAACTGGGCTTTAGCATCGGATACAATTGGATCCGAAAACCAGCTCTGACACCTGGTAGCTGTGTGATCCTGGGCAATTACTTAATTTCTTTAAGCCTCAGCTACTTAATCTATTGAGGATCATGGTCTATATACCTCTGTATTTCTCACAGAGTTGTGTGAGGATTCAGTGAAATAAGAAGGGGTGATTAATAAGCAGTGCTTTCTTTCCTTCTTTCTCATTTTGCTTGACGTCTCTGGCTGCTCTGTGGTTTAGTACTGGTGAGAAAGTAGGAGGTGAGTCATAGGAGTGAGTGGGAAACAAGAGCAGGGGAAGAAAGCTGGCTGTGGGCCAGACTCTGCAAAGGGCAGGGCATGTGAGCTCGGTCAAGCTCCTGACAAAATTCATGGAGCCTAAGATCATCCGGGGCAGAGAATAGAGAATGAGCAGGGAAGTTATTAGGAAAGTTCTTTCTATCCCTGATCTCCTGGACTGCAGAGCACTGGGGGAGCAGCACAAGGAAGCGCTCACCTCCCGAGAAGCAGAGAAAAGTCTGTTCATCCCTACGGCTTCTTCCTCTGGCAGCAGGGAGTAACAAGTGAGTCTCCTCAGGCAGTTCCATGGAGACACTGCCATCCCTCAACCCCACATCCTGGCTTCAGTTTTCAACTTTGAGCCTCTGTAAGCGTGTGTGCGGGCTAAGTTACAGCCCCTCCCTCTTCATGAGATGGGCCCTCACCCGTGTGAAGTGAGCCGGTTTACGGAGGCTCTCCAGACCCCAGAGAATACTGTGGGAGGACCGCAGAACTCTCTGGGCTTCTGAACAGCAGCCGGGACATCCCGGGCTCTCCAGAAAAGAGAGCATTGTGGGAAAATGTCCTCCTTATCAGAAAATGTGGGTACACTTTCTCACTGTTTGCTGGGCTGAGACCCTCTGAAGGAGTTTGGTGACATTCTGGAAACCCTCAGGGTTCCCGGGGTGCTCAGGGCAAACAAAGGCTCACTTTTCCCCAGGCCTCTAAGTTCACTTGTGCGGCCACCCACTAAGGCAGCAGCTCAAACTTGAAGGAGCCCTGGATGGCGTGTGGAAAGCAGACTGCCTCTCCCACTCTCAGAGTTTCTGATTCACTCGTCTGGGAGGAGCTGGAGCCCTTGTATTTCTGACCAGCCCATGAGAGGCAGGTGCTGTTGGTCTGTGGATCCCACTTGGAAAACCACTGTCCTGAGGTAAAGGCAAGCTGAGGCTTAAACGGTCCCTTTGAGCCCTAAATGCTATGCTTCTCCTGCTCCATTCACCTCAGCCTTGCAAACAGCTGCAGTCTCAACAGCAGCCCAGCATGCCACACTGCAGGTGATCCCGGGAAGCTGGGTTCCGGTTTCACGGTTGGTAAGCATGATGCCGGGGTGGCAGGAGGTCCAGGGGCCTTGCCCCCCCTTCCCTGGTTGCCCTGTCTCCTGGCCCAGCACCAGGGTCCCTGCGTCCATCTCAGCTCGCTTCACGGGCACTTCTCTCTCTTCAGATGCAGAGGCCAGAGCCTTCTGAGTGGCTGGGAAGCCAGTGGTCAGACAGCGGCTCCTTCCCAGCATCATCCACTCTTGAGCCTGGGGTGCCTCTGGCCTGCCACCCAGTCTGTGGGAGTAACAGCCCCTGACAAATGCTGCGGTTTCCCCAGTGGCTGCCCACAAATGTCAGACCTGGGAGGCAGGCGCCCTCCCATCTATGCCCGCTGTGCCACCCCTGCCAGGCTGGGCGGGCACTGGGGAGCGGACGGTGGGTGGAGGGCTCTGTGCCCTGGAAGCGGTCCAGAGCCTGCCGCGGTGTGATACGTGAGCAGGGAGGTGAGGCAGGAATCGGGAGCACCACTCCACAGCATTTCAACACTCAGGCGAGGGAGATCAACTCTCCAAGTCACATACACAAGGACAGCTCCCTGGAGCCCACCAGCCAGTAGGCTGAGACCTGAACCGCCTCCCCGGTCCCCACCAAGCCATCTGCGAGTGACCAGAAGCTCCGTCTCCGAGCTGGAGAGCCCAGGTTTTTCCAGCTCAGCCCCAGAGGCCAGGATCTGCAGGACAGTCAAGACCGGGCCCTGCGACAGTGGCCTTTTTATGTTTGCACGCGTACGGCTGGCACTCTCCTCACTCCTTGGGCTGGAGGCTCCTTCTGTGAGTGCCGGGGAGAAGCACGGACTGACTGGCCTCTAATAAAGTGAGCCGCCTCCCCTGTCCCCCGACCTCAGTCACCAGCAATGGGGCTGGTTGAATTGGTTCCAGATGTTGAATTCAGATGGAATCTGACTGGGGCTGGCCTGTGCTTTCAGCCCAGGCTGAACCACTGTTTAGGGGAAGAAGCGAGGGGGAGGGGGAGGAGACGGTGAGGGATACTGGGCAGCTGTCTTTGCGTTTAGTGGGAAAATGACCTGTAAGTGGCATGCAGGGGCACTGGGGGGCAGTGAGTGGCACTCTGCACTGAGTCAAGCAGTCAGGGTTGGAACCCCCACCGCTGGAGTGGCCTCCAGATTGCAGTGACTTAATTTGCAAAATGGAAATGGTGATTTGTTATTTGTCTAATGGAAGGGACTAGTAAGGATACACCAGAAGGATTCCTTTTATATCTCGGTTTCCAGGCAAACTCACAACAAATCTGCTTTAGGGGGAAACTGGGCCTAACCTGCCGCAAAGGGACCTTACCCCTTTTCTCGTCACAAATGTCTGCGATCATTACTAAATTAGCACTGTATAAACTCACAGTCAGCAAATTACGTCTCCTATCTGCACTCTCCCCAATCAGAGAGGAATTCCCTGGACGCAGGACTGTTCCTCCCACAACAGCCAGCCTAGAGCAGGAGCTTGAGACTGCTGTCTGATGAGCGGCAGTTCTGTGTACAACCGGATTAAATTTCCTTTTCTGGAGATTATTAATGTTCCTGCTATTGTTATTACATCTTTCAGAATGGTCCCTCGCCACTCAGCACACGTGAAGAAGGGAGGCAGTCTAAAGTGGTATTTGCTCCGAGGTTTGGGTCAAGTGGGGCTTGGCCGACAGCACTCCGGGTCCCAGAGGCCTGACGCGCTGCAAGGGGGAGGCGGGGAGGAGTGGGGTGCATCCGTCGGCCTCACTGGGCCATCTGGCGCCCAGGCCAGTGGGTGCGGGTGACACCGCCCCTCCCCCAGCCTGAGCCCCTACCAGTAATCCTCCGTGCTCCCTCCTCTGCTGTAGACGGGGCCCTCCAGCTCCCGGGGGTTGGGGAAGACATTCTCGTGTTGGATGATGATGGTTTTGATCAGCTCGTTCACGTGCGCTTGGCAGGACACCTGGTCGTGGCCCTCAGGCACCGACATCAGTGAGGGCCCGAAGCAGATGGCGAGGTTGTAGGGGTCCATCATGTTCTCTTCACTGAACTGTGATAAACTGCAGAAGGAGAAGGGTGAAAGCTGAAACGCACTCGCATGAATGCCCAGGAAACGCAATCACAGGAGGCGCTGCTGGGAGCAAGAACAGACGAGCCACATAGTCACCTGCTTTTCTGGGTACCAGAGCCCTTCTAGAAAGTTAGCGGGGTGAGAGGGGAATGACCACCGGGACAGGCTCTCAGGAGACAAGGAAAGCCCCTCTCTGCAGGTCTGCCCTTCCCCTTTCTCCAGCTCCTGGTTCAAATCCTACTTGTCGCCCAGTTTCTACTCCCACCCGGGACTTTACCCACCAAATCCACCCTGCCTCGAGGACACACTGCTCTGCAGAGTTGGATGCGCTCCCACAGACCAGCTCACTAAGCTGGCCAGAGCAGACGGAGCCCCTTGGGCTGCCCTGGTAAAGACGTGGTCAGGCGCTGTGCATCATGCACCTTCTTAAATAGCAAAACAATCAAATTATTAGGGATATTCCATTCTAAGCTCTAGATTTATTTTAATAAATAGCCAACCAATTAGCTCTTGTATTCCATTAAGTCCATGAATTCCTTTCTAGAACAGCTAATGCACTTGTTTTGCATTTTCAGAACATCCTCCTCTACTGTACATTCAGGATATATTCAGGAAAAGGTCTGCATGCAGCTCAGCTTCTGCGCAGGCTTCCCTTGGTGCAGTCTGACGTCATTATTGGGTACCGTCTTCTAGGAACTCCCTCTTTTCAACCAGCAGCTGCTCCAGCCACAGCTCCAACCCTGGCCAGGGACCCAAGCCCTTCAGTGATGAGTCCCCACTGGTCTATGCGTGTCCAGACACTGAAGGCTGGGCTACTCTGGATGTGACCCCACCCCAATAGTCTGCAAACATGGAGTTCTGCTCAGGGGCTCTGCCTCCCTTGTGGGCATCAGCACCAGCTTCTGATGGATCTTGAGAGGATACCAAAGTCCTGGTGTTGAATCAGAGGCCTGGGACTTAGCTGTCTTCATCTGAGTAGCTGTTCTTCAGAAATGGACAGTTTACTTCCAGTGTATCCAGCATTCAGACTCAAACTACCAAGCTGGCCTCTCTTTAACTCGAAGTTTCTCTCCTTCACTGAAGATTCAGACATGGCCCCACTCCCTTAGAGCATCACTGCAGAACATGGAGGTGGGAGAATGCAGTGGGGACAGCGACAAACAACAGTGGCAGAGGACCACTGTTCTCTAGGACCTGGTCAAAGGCAGGGAGGCCTGGGATGGGTGAGGTTATGGATCTCAGTAGCTGGACTGCGTCACAGAAAGTTTTAAAAACGTAATTTTATAATCCTTCCCTGGCTCCTAAGTTAAAAGCAAGCAGAGATTCAGAAAAGGCTGGCAGAAGTTTCCAAATCTACTTCTTGGACAAATAAAAACTGGAGAGAGACAGGAGATATAACTAGCATGGGAACCTCAGCAGGGATAGCAGAGGCTTGGGGTGCCACGAGACGAGAATTGTGGCCCATCCCAGGCTGACGGGTTCCTCGCCTCACAGAGGGACGAGGAGGAGGAAGGCCCTGCTTCTCTAGGGTGACCTGACAATGTTTTGAAAGAAAAACAGTAGTTTCCGGGAAGCCTGGTGGCTAAAGTGAAATGAACGCTAGGCCTGAGGGTCCTAGTCTAAGTTCTGTGACTGATAAGAAGTCTTTTTCCATCTTCTAAGAAAAGGGTGGCTCCGCTCCTAGGTGGCTACAATGACCAGGGTTGGAGCTCAGTTCAGTCGCTCAGTCGTGTCCAACTCTTTGCGACCCCATGGACTGCAGCACGCCAGGCTTCCCTGTCCATCACCAACTCCTGGAGCCTACTCAAACCCATGTGCATCAACTTGGTGATGCCATCCAACCATCTCATCCTCTGTCTTCCCCTTCTCCTGCCTTCCGTCTTTCCCAGCATCAGGGTCTTTTCCAATGAGTTGGTTCTTCGCATCGGGTGGCCAAAGTATTGCAGTTTCAGCTCCAACATCAGTCCTTCCAATGAATATTCAGGACTGATTTCCTTTAGGATGGACTGGTTGGATCTCCTTGTAGTTCCAGGGGCTCTAAGGGTTGGAGAGGACATGTCTTTGTGGTCTGAGGTCTACTTCTTATGGATCCAGGTCCATTTCTTACTTCCATTAAAATACAGACCAAGATCCTTCTTTCTTTTCCAATCTACAATTGGAACACCTAAGTTTTGGGGGTAAAGCCATAGTTCTTAACTACTTGAGGAACAGAGGCTTCTTGAAGAATTTGACAAAAACTAAGGATTCTTACCCAGAGAAATTCACACACGAGCACATAACAAATGCACACAATTTTGTATATAATACAATAGTGCTAGTAATCCTTGAAGACTATGAAGCTGGTACCTAGTATAAGACTTAAAACACTGGATTTTTATTTTTAAAAGAAATATCTAAAATGGATAATGATGGTAACAGCTCCTTCTTTCTTAAATTTTTTTTTTTTTTTAAATCAGAAGATCCCCTGGAGAAGGAGATGGCAACCCACTCCAGTATTCTTGCCTGGAGAATCCCATGGACAGAGGAACCTGGCGGGCTACAGTCCATGGGGTCGCAAGAATTGGACACGACTTAGTGACTAAACCACCACCATCAACTTCTATACATGCCATGTCCTCTAAGAGCTGTACTTATTTTCTTTAGTTTCTATCCATAACAGGAGTGAACTCTCCTAATTGATTTAAGCTCATCTTCTTTTGAGCACCTTCAAAACGTCCACTGTAGTGATCAGGAACAGAAGCTTTTTGGGGGCAATGAGAAAATCAGGACTGGTGTGGGAAGCTTGTTTTTTATCATGCACTTCTCTAGACTTTTTACTTTTAAATGATGCAATTTTGTCTCCCTGATTACATTTATAAAGAAACACAAAACATCCCAGAACTTTAGAATCAAGCACATCTGGTTTTGAGTACTAGGTCCCTTGCTTACCATAGTTTTTTTCCTAGTTCCCTAATCTTTTCATCATAAATTGGGGCAATTACGTGCTTCCATGATGGGCTGTTGTGAAGATTAAATGAAGTAGTATGTGTAAAGCACTTAGCACTGTGCCTGGCACACAGGAGGTGTTTAAGAAATATTTTCTGTAATTTTCAAGTCCAGTTTGCTTGTTGACATAGGATCTGCAATTCCAGTCAGGGAAGGGAGAGCGAGGTTGCTGAGGTTTGGCAGTAATTGGTTTACAGGAGTCCACTGTCTTCTCCTGACAGGCATTATCTAACAAGCTAAGGGCTCTGCATCCTCAAACCGAAACTTAAATCCTCAGGGAGAGCAAGAATCTTTGAACAGACTGTTTTAAACATATGATATTTCACTTAAAAACCTTCAACTTCACAGGCCCTGGGGGTTTGATTTGGCAATAACCAACAGACTCTGGGTAAGATATTAGGCATCAGGATGGATTTCAGGTTTTGAAAGGGATGAAGAGAAAAAAAAAAAAGAAAGGGATGAAGAGAAACTGTATTCACCACAGCCCCAGGCAAAACGCCCCTAAGAATCTATAAACCCGTGATTTAATGGACTTCCCCAAAAGGCTCCTTAAGCGATGAGACGTGGAAGGGAATCATGGCTGACTCTTTCCGATGGCCATTCAAAGGCATTCCCTCGCTGCCCTTGCCTGTAAGGCCACCTGTCCCCAGCTTCCATGCTCCCTTGTCTGTTAACTGACCTGCCTTTCTCCCTATGCAGTGAATCCCATCCTCTTTCCCCTCCTTAAGAATGTCACTCCAGAAATTCCCTTGCTCTCTCTTCCACCATCAGTTCTTCCCTATGGGGCCCATCCCCACTAGCATACAAATGTGCATCTTAAAAACAAAATTCTCTCTTAACCCCTTATGCACACTGAATTACTGTCCCGTTCTCTTTCCTCTATCATAAAATTATTTGAGAGTTGTCTGTATCCGTTGCTTCTGCTTCTTCTTTACCTCTGTTGTTATGGACTGAATTGTGTCCCCTCTCCCCCATTCATTTGTTGAAGCCCTAAGCCCCGATATGACTGCATTTAGGGATGGGGCCTTGAAGGAGATAATATGGGTTAAATGAAGCCATAAGGGTGGGCCCAAACCCTACAGGACTGGTGTCCTTATGAGAAGAGGAAAAGAGACCCAAGTTCTCTCTCCCAGTGTGCTCAGAAGAAAGGCCACGTGAGGACAGCACGCCGTGGCCGTCCACACGCCAAGCAGAGCGGCCTCCCCAGAAACCTTGCTGGCACCTTGACCTTGGACTGCCAGGCTCCAAAACTGTGAGGAAACAAACTTCTGCTGTTTGAGCTCCTCAGTCTGTGGCATTCTGTTACGGCAGTCCCAGCAGACTCGCATACCTACTCTTTCCCCCTCTCCCTTTATCGTGGTCAAATATACACAACAGAAACGTTACTACTTTAACCTATTTAAAATTAAGTAGCATTTAGCTGAATACCATCCCGCTGCAGGATCCACCACGTTTTATCCATGATTAGCATCCCTTCCCGCCTGAACTGACACCATCAGAATCTCCCCCTCTTCCAGACAGCACATGTCAAGATCACCAGTGACACCCATGCGGCTAAGTCACCTCTCAGTCCTCTCCTCTGCTGAACTGTCATCGCATCATCTTACCCTCCCTGAAACATGTTATGTGGCTCCTGGGACCCCGTTCTCTCTCGGTCCTCCTCCTACTGCACCACCCACTGTCACCTGCTCAGTGAGGTGGCCCTGAACACTGCACATTAGAGAGCAAACCCTCACACCCAACCCTCACACTTTCCAGTCCTCTAACTTGCTAGATTTTCTCCACAGCCCTTATCCCCTGACATCTGACATGTGTTATTAGTTTTTCCTGTCTTCCTCCAATTCTATGTGCTACATAGGCTCCAGGAGGGCAGACACTTTGACTGTTTGATGCAATCTTAGATTGCCAGCAACTAAAACAGGGCCTGGCACACAGTATATGGTTAATTAATACATGTTAAATAAATAAGTGAATAAACACATGAGTATCTGTAAACCTCCAAGATAATCCAGTCACAATTCTACTTGTCTGTTTGCATACAGAGGTTAAAACACTTCCTGGAAAGTCAGGAGAGCAGCACAGACAGAATCTTTCCAAACCGGGAGGCCCTTGAGATGCTGAAGTTTAGAGGAAGACTCAGCTTTTCTGGAGAGCAGCTGAGGCGCCTTAACAATGAGAGGAGCACCGTCAATTCCTTTTTCCAGATTATGGAGCAATATTTGAGGATGTAGAACGATGCTTCTCAGACTTTCACATGCCTATGACTCACCAGGGGATTCTGTCAAAATACAGATTCTGATTCAGAGGCCCTGGGCTGGGGTGGAGGAGGGGCTGAGAGTCCTCACATTTCTCACAATCTCCCCCTCATAGCTCAGCTGGTAAAGAATGCGCCTGCAATACACAAGACCCCAGTTCAATTCCTGGGTTGGGAAGATCCCCTGGAGAAGGGAACAGCTGCCCACTCCAGTATTTTTGGGCTTCCCTGGTGGCTCAGCTGGTAAAGAAACAGCCTGCAACGAGGGGAGACCTGGGTTCGATCCCTGGGTTGGGAAGATCCCCTGGAGAAGGGAACGGCTACCCACTCCAGTATTCTGGCCTGGAGAATTCCATGGACTGTATAGTCCTTGGGGTCACAAAGAGTCGGACATGACTGAGCCACTTAAAAAAAAAAAAAATCTCCCCAGTGATGCTGCTGCCGCTGGTCTGTGGACGTGAGTTGATTAGCAAGAGACTAAAAGAAAGAAGAAATCTGAAGAAATCAGCTTTCAAAAGGAAAGCAGCAGAGTTAGCAGCAGAGCGGGGAGTTACCTGCAGTTTGTTTTGGGGCAAAACCCCACTGGGGGGTACAGCTGCTGAGGCTGGAGTCTCTAAAATGAGGCCCATGGTCCCTGCCGCTGGCACTCACAGCCTGTATAGTTCTCCCCCTGTGTGTGTGGGCTGGGTTTAGTGACTCAACGCTAGTGAATGGAGCATGGCCGAAGGGATGGGCTATAACTTCTGAGATTAGGTTACAGAGACTGGTTGCTGTCCTGGACGACCTCTCGCTTGCTTGGAGCGAAGCCAGCTGCCACGTCCCGAACAGCTCTGAAGGTGAGGCCATGAGATGAAGAACTGATGGAGGCCTCCAGCCAACAGCCAGCTGGAAAAGGAGGCCCTCAGTCCAACAACCTGCAAGGAACCGAGTCCTGCCAACACTGCGTGAGAGAACTTGGAAGTGGATCCTTTCCCAGTCGAGCCTTCAGAAGAAACTGCAGCCCTGCCCCCAATACTCACTGCAATCTCATGAAACCTGTAGCCAGAGGCCCCCAGCTAAGCTGCACCTAGGTTCCCAACCCACAGAAACTGGGACCAAATAATAAATGCCTATTGTTTGAAGCTGTTAAATTTTAGGGCAATTTGTTACACAGTAATTGATAGTCAATGCAGATGCTAAGAAAGTGTAATGTTAATCATTAACAAGGCCTACTGGACAGATGTGTACTCAAGGTTCATACAGTGGACTGGACACTAGCTACACAGAAGTATGTGGAACCAGGTTAAGTCCATACCGCATTAGTGTACTGTGCAAGGAGTTTCACACCTATCTATCTGTCTATCTACCTATCTGTCTCAATTCTGAGAGTTCCTTCAGCTGGAGGACTGTACAACCCCCAAAAAAACCACAGCCAGAAATAAAGTACACGCGTCCTCAGGACACACACAGCAAAGGAGAGCGGTCCTAAAAGTCGGGGCCCAGGCAGAGTCTCCCTGGGGAACCACCTGCCAACTCTGGTCTTGTCACCCACCACCTTCTCAGGCAGGCAGACGGTCTTTTCTACCAGCTGTGTCCTGCACTCCATTTATCATTTTTGGAAATACTGTGGTATTAATGCTGCATCTTTTCAATGAAGTGCTTTGATGAGCAAGTGATCTTTTTTTTAACTATGAAGAGAAGTTAAACACAGCAAACGTCATCAGTTGAGCTGGTACAGTTTTCCACGTTTCCTTCAGCAGTGGCCACCTTCTCCTGCTCTTATGATGCTTACTTTACTGTTTCCCCCTACCTAGCAGGAAGAAAACGCAGGGAAGAGAGTGGGTGCATTGTGCTCACACACGGAGTCACCCCACACCCTGCCCGCCCCCTGCCTGCTTCCCCACGACCACCCGGCTTCTTGCTCTGGGGAGCAGCCCAGGCTCTCTGAGGGCAGGTGTCAGTCCACAAGGGGAGACGAGGGTGGCCTGGTGGCCCCGAGGAGACCGACAGGCTGCAGAGTCATTACTAGAGCTTCTATTTCTGTCTGCCTGAAACGGGCGGCCTGTGAACCCCTGCGTGAGTCATGAGGCGCTCTCGACTACAGGCAGTGGTGGCGCTGAGTCAGGGCCCAGCAGTGAATGGCGCGGACCCGGCCGCGTGGAGGCAGCGGGCTGCGGCCAGCAGCAGGGCTGAGCATGGGGTGGCGGCCCCACAAAGGTTTCTGGCGGGGGCCACGGCCCGGGGGCCTCACGGTCAGGCTGACCTTAGTCTGTAGGCAGGCTGAGGCTCCTGAGATGGCCTGTGAACATGTATTCCACTGAAGCAGAGACTAACCCACTAGGAAGAGTCTTCATTTTCACAAAGAAATAAGAGCTAAAACACCCTTGGTCTAAGTTTCATGCCCCATCCCCCTACCTTTTTGTTAAAAATAGATTTAAAGGCCTAGAGAAATGTTTTCCCACTATATGAAAAGGCATAAAGCCAGAGAGATGATAACTGCAACTGAATTCATCCTCAGCACTGGGGGGCATTGGGAGAAATGGGACTGGTGGACTGCGGTCCCTGGGCTACATCCAGGCAGCAGTGCTTACTCCACAGGGAACTGCAGCCACACGGCTGTCAGATCCAGTACTGCCGGATCTAATGATTTTTTTCAAGAGAAGCCAGAAATCCAGATTTTTTTAAGTGTAAAATCTCCCAATATTTAAATGCTTCAATGCTTTCAAGACACAGTGGATTTAATGGGAACACACCTATGGGCCTTATCTGGCCCTCAAGTTGCTCACTTATACACTCTGGCCCAGCTGGTGGAGGGGCTGTGGTGAAACCAACGGGTAAAGACAGAGGTGCCTTGGGGGAGGCACCTGCCTACTTAGACTCTCTACCTGGAGGGCCGGTAGGGTGCCTCCAGTTAACATACCCACAGCATCAGCACCTGGTCCTGATTCCTTCCTCCATGTCTTGTCTTCTCCACAAATGGCACTACTGCTCATGACGAAAATTCAGAATTTCTCTCTTTCTACACCCTACCCATCAGCAGGTCCTGTACAGGCTGTGCTCCAAACAGATCCCAAACCTGACCCTTCCCCCACCCTCCACCCTTCCCTCCCTGGTCTGAGACTGCACAGTAACTTCTCCACAAAGCAGCTTTTAAAAATAAATTAGAAAATCAGATCACAACACTCTTCCGCTTAAAACTCTCCAAAGGCCTCTTCAAATCCAAACCCACAGTTGCCACAACTTTTGGAGCCTGATGATCTTGACCCTGGCCACCACCACCCCCCCTCCTTCACTGAGGCTGCTGCTCATTCACCGTCTCCCCAGAGAGGCCTTTGCTGACGACCCCTCTGTGCCGGCTCCTCTCTGTCACCCCTGCCCTGACCCTGCACTTGCATTTCTTTACTTTTCTTCTCAGCACTCATCGCCACCTCATGTGTCCGTTATTGTCTGTGTCCTCTGCTAGGACAGGAGCCAGATGATATCTAGGTTTCTGTCTCTATTTCACAACGTATTTTTACATCCTAAAACCATGCCCAGCACTTAGTAGATGTGCAATAAGTATTTGTTGGTCTGGAGGGATCAACTTAGGTCCCACAAAAACTTTCACTGGGCGAAGCCGAGGCCGATCAGCTGCTCCCAGGGAAGTCTACTCACTGATTGAGGAAGGCAAAGAGGTATCTCATGACAATCAGAGTGGTTTTGGGGAGGGCCAGGAGGACCTTCCGGATGTGCAGAGCTCGCTCCTGCAGGCTGTCCATTGCTGAAAGAAGAAAGCCACGTGTTACCCTCCACTAGGAGCCCAGGGACCAGTGGTCAGGAGGCCCTGACTCGCAGCAGGTACAACGGGGAGCGGCTGGTTCCAGCCCACACAGACTGGGCCTGCATGAAGGGCTCCTTGTGGTGGGGTTATGGCAATGGGGCTCCAGACCCTTCACTGGGGCAGGACTTAAGATGTCTGCTCCTTGGGCACAGGAGGGTTGGGCAAATTCCCCACAGCATCCGCCACCCCCTTATTACAACACAACAGGGAGCTGCCCAGAAACGGCTGTGACTGTCCCCCAGCCTTGGAGGGCCTGCGTGGGAGGCCTGCGCAGGTCCCGTCCTGCCTGCTACACACATGCACCCCTCAGCCCCTTGACAAGTCTGGCTTATCTTCCCCACTCTCTTATCTGTAGTGGGGATGGCAGAATGTGACCAGAGGCAAGAACTGGCAGGCCCCCGTGCAAGCAGTGATACTGGGAGAAAACCAGAGCGCTTTCCTGACTCCAGGTGTGGCCCAAGGCCCGGACCTCCCCAGGGCCTGCTTTCCCACATTCACGCTGTGCCATGTGGATATTCTCATTTGCTATGAGAGCCTTTCCATGAAAACAAAGTGGGAGATACTGGATCAGGGGCACACCTCAAGGTACCCTGTACTATCCTGGCAACCCCCATTCTCTTAGCACACTCCACCCAGGCCCCGTCCTGGAAGGAGATGTGAAGACGTGAGGGGTGCATCTATTTGGTCACTCACAGAACTCAGGTCCACCAGGACTGCCACAAACAGCGGGTAAATCAACAAAACAAGGGAGTTAGCTTCCTGAGCTCTCAGAGGATGTGCTAAATCAAACTGGAAACTGGGGGTGGGGGGGTTGGGGGGTGGGTATGAAGACCTTCATTGATCTGGGGGGAAAACTTTTCTTCATTTCAAAGGAGCTGGCTCCTCCAGCCTCTGGAACCATTATTTCAATGGAGTCTGCTCCCAGAATGACCTAATATTAATCCAGGTTTCCATGGACAACAAATGAGAGGGTGTTCCAGTATAATAAATGGCCAGGAGTAGCTTTTCAAGCCCAAAATTTTAGAGTGAGAGGCAGACAAACTTTAAGATATCTGTTTTATCTAAAGATCAAGTAGAGACTCTCTCTCTCTCAGAAAATATCATATCACTACTTTTAAATGTGCAGAGGGCATGAATTCCTAGAAGAATACATATTAACACATCTCACAGATAAAAGCAACAAGCAGGAGATATTTGTAACACATGTATTCTCCCTCTGTATCATGAAAAGCATAAGTACTAACGTAAAAGCTTCTAAGAGCTGAAAAGGACTGTATTTTCTATATGACCATATTAAGAGAGATAAAGCCCAACAAAACAAAGCAATTTAAAGTGAATCAGAGAGAAAAACCAGGAGTTCTGACTTGTGGTCCAGATTCTTCTTGAAAAGTCACTCTTTTTCCTCTCCTACAACAAGGAAGAGAAATTTCACAGGGGGAAACGAAAAAAATTACTGTAAACCTGGAAATTTCTCTGTTGCTCCGGCCCAGAAGTGAGCTTGCGGTTGGGGTACTTACTGACGCAGGCCATCAGGTCGTGGAAGATGTCCTTGGGGAAGAGCGGGTGCTCCAGCCCCCGGAAGTACAGCTTCAGGACGCCGGCTATGGAGTCCATGTCGTGGTCATTCTGGTCCCCAGCCAGGGGGTCCTCTCCTGAGGGTGAGAAACCCCCAGACGGGAAAGAGAGAGTGAGAGGGGTAAAAACACGCAGGATGAAGCAGAGCTGGTAGGGGAGGAGTGCTCTATTCAAGTCTTCACGGAAATCCATCAGCTCTCCGCTCAGCACGGGGCCTTGAGCAGGGCAACCGGGGACTAGAGAAAGCAAGGGCTGCTCAGGCTCAGGGGCCCTGGGGTCAGAGCAGGGGCAAAGGCGACCATTAACGGGAATCTGCGTGTGCTAGACTAGCTCAGGGACGTTCCCTATGGGCCAGGGAAGGGACATGGCAACTGGCTCTCTCCTAAGCATCAAGAAAGCAGGCCGGGCCTGAGCCCTGAGGGGAGGGAGACGGGGCCAGGGAGGCCAGCCCCTCTGACTGGCTCTCCTCCTTCTAGGCCTGCAACTAGCACACCTACTTGCAAGAGAAGGAACATGCTGGCGCTCCCCATGGAAAATTTCCTATCAGATGTAATTAGATTTAATGGTAGGACCAACCTCAAATTGAAACTATATATATCCATTACAGGCATGGAAATTGTCAAAGCTTGCCCACTACCTTAAGAGCCCACAAGATAATAAATGGGCTACGTGAACAGGCGTGTTTGCCCTGACACCAAGGATTCCAGATAGAGCCGCAAATTGCGCAGATATCACAGTTAGCTTCTTGGGTTTGGGTGGACTGTCCGCAGGAGACAGACGGGAAGAGAGGGGCTGGGAAGGGGGAAACTGGGACATCCCCAGCATCTCCCAGCACATCTGGGGGGGCAGGGTGGGGAGGATGTCTACAGAAGGAAGAGGCTGGGCTCAAGGGGGAGGCACGCTGGCTTGCTGACTCTGGGTGCCTCTCTGGGAAGAAAGGGTGGAGCCACTACCCCAGGGGACTGGTAAATGTCTGGCCTTATCTTTAAGGCTGTTTCCTCACCCCTCTCAAAGGCATTTTTGATGTCATTCACTTCCACCTGGGATCCTGACACCCGGAAAATTCCTTCATGCTGGAGCCCTAGAAAGACAGGGAACAGTGATCAAGGAGACAAAAAAGCAAATTCACAGCCACAGCGCCAAGCTTAGCTGAGTGTCTGTCTCCCCCAGCTGGCATGTATTTAAGCACCCTGTCTCTCTTCTTCAGGCCAGAGGAGAAAGCCTATACAGGGATGGTGGAAAGGTTACGGCAATGAATGTGAGGCATCGGCCGAAAGAGAGCACCGAGTCAGAGACTTAAAAAAGATCTGTCCATGCCATTTCTGATTCTGGCCAAGTCTCTGAAGCAGGCTCCTCTTCCAGCCTTTGCCTCTCTGTCCCCCCCACCAAGTAGAGAGGTGATTTCTGTCACCTCCTTATCCCCCAGGGCTAGGGATGTGACCCAGGAGCATGGCAGGCAAGCCATTAGATACGATCCGAGGTCCCCGAGGCGTGAGATCGTGATTGGTATCTCAGCTGTCCTAACACGTTTCAGCTGTTCTAGGCGACAGTGCTCTCACTACTTACGAAAAAGGGAGGGCATATATTGGTACAGCGCAATGGAGAACAGTGTGGAGTTTCCTTAAAAAACTGCAAACAGAACTACCGTATGACCCAGCAATCCCACTCCTGGACCTAAATCCCCAAAAAAACATAATTCAGAAAGACACATGCACCCTAATGTTCACTGCAACACTATTTACAACAGCCAAGACACTGAAGCAACTTAAATGTCCATCAACAGAGGAATGGATAAAGAAGATGTGGTATATATACACAATGGAATATTACTCAGCCATAAAAAGGAATGAAATCATACTACAGCAACATGGATAGACCTAGAGGTTATCATACTAAGTTAACTCGACAGAAAAGGACAATTATCATGTTACCACTTACATGTGGAGTCTAAAAAATGGATACAAATGAACTTATCTGTAAAACAGAGAGACTCAACAGACTTCAAAAACAAACCTACGGTCACCAAAGGGGAAGGTGGGGGGAGGGGTAAATTAGGAGGCTGGGAACATATATACATTAGAGGCAGTCAACAAGGACCTGCTATGAAGCATAGGGCACTCTACTCAATATGCTGTGATAAGCTACATGGGAAAAAAGTCCGAAAAAGAACAGATATATGTCTATATATAACTGAATCACCCTGCTGTACTCCTGAAAGTAATACACTGTTGTAAACGAGATAAGTAAAAAAAAGTAAAACAGCAATCAGCCCACAGTGAGTATCACAGGTGCTGTGCCAGCTACTGGTCCTTCATGCAGCCTGACTCTAAAGGCAGCATGCCTGAATACCACACTAGAATGACGTGCATGAAAACTGTGTCTTTTTGAAGTTTGTTGGAGTAAAACTAGCCATGGAAAAGTAACATGTGTAGTGATGGCTTACGCGCTTACAGGCACAGAAGGCAGGGGTTACCAGGAAGCCCATTTTCTAGGAGCGAGGACTGATAAGAGATGACCTGCCTGAGGCTATACAGATGATAGGAACCAGAGTCAGGACATAAAACTAGGCCTTCTGGCTGCAATCATATACTCATTCCTTAACACTGGGCTTGTGGGGCCTACTGGAGTGAAAGTGCAGAGGGGGGATCTCCTTTGTCCGCTCACTATGGGCATGGCTCATAAGAGCCCCACACAGGCGACTCAGAACTTGAGGGGTGGATCCAGAAGCAGGAGCCCCGGGGCTGCACTGAACTGGCGTCTTTCCTCCTATCAGCTCTGTCCAGTTTTCTCAGGAGCCCTGCGGTTCAGTCCCGGGCACTTTGTTAAAGTCCTGCTCTCACTGCATGATCTACTGAAACTTCCCAATCTCAAACACCTTTTTTGGAAAACAAAGAGAATAATGTTACACTTTGCCCACTATTTTGGGACTCCCCTCTTGATGAGGGAGGGTGAATGAATTCTATCTACTTTGAAGTAAACCACACAGGCCAGGACTGAATTCTGAATCCAACTGAAGCAACAGTAAGAAGTAAGCACAGGGAATTGAATTATCTCGCTTGTAATAGGACTGAACTTGTCCGTTACTCTAGGGGACTTTCCAGACTATCCCTCACAGAATCAGAATGGCAGGCCATGTCAGGACCCCGAAGTAACAGCACCGTATTACGCTGATTACCAATGGGGTGGAACAGCCAGATACTGCTGTGCAGACACAGAACATGAACAGTAAGTTTCCAACAGAAACGGTCACATACTCAGTGACTTGTCAAAACCACAGTGAAATATAAGGCACGGTCATCTCAGGGACCAGGCTGCTCAGTGTCACTGGCGGAGCTTGCTGACAGAGGATCATCTCAGCACGTTTTGATAGATTAGACATCAAGGACACGCCAACTTGGTGCACAAGCCCAGGGCAAGAAGAAATCATGGGAAAGCTTACTGAAAATCAGGCAGCAGGCCTGAGACACACTGAGGTCCCTTTCAGTCTGGTTTCCATTTCTCCTTGAGAACCCAGGCTTTAGAAGGGCCAGTGTGTGTTCCTGCTCAACAGACAGAATCTTTAGATGATGATTCTGAAAGTAGGAACATTAACAAATGGTGGGTTTCCAGAAGGAGAAGGGGAAAAGCAACTGGCTTTTTATGATAATGCAGGTAAGACCTCACATCCCTCAGCTGACACCTGCATGACCATTCTCCTTTTTCCTTAGTGCTGACTAACATAAAAGCATAAAGCCAATCAGACTTTGGTAAGTTATTTGGAAACAGCACAAAACCTTCCATTTTGAGCTGGATCCAGCTGTTGCCAAGAGTTGCTCTCCTAGTGAAGTCTCAAGATGATTGCTACAACACTGTCTTCTGCTCATGTGACTCTGCTCCCTTCCTCATGAAAATGGTGGGGTTTTTCCATACTGAGTGAGTCTCAATTGTTCCTCACATCCCTTCCCTTAAGTCTTCCTGGATCACCCGACCCACCACTTAAGGCGAGCCTCAGTTTTCCCATCTATATGATGGGGACTAGAACGAATGTGGGCTCCCCAGGTGGCATTAGTGGTAAAGAACCCACCTGGCAATTGCAGGAGACATAAGAGATACAGATTCGATACCTGGGCTGGGAAGATCCCCTGGAGGAGGGCATGGCAACCTACTCCTGTATTCTTGCCTGGAGAATCCCAGGGACAGAGGAGCCTGGTGGGCTACAGTCCATGGGGTTGCAAAGAGTTGGCACGACTGAAGCAACTTAGCATGCACACACGCAGAATATAGTTGATGTTGTTTAGTCACTAAGTTGTTCTGACCCTTTTCTGACCTCATGGACCATAGCCTGCCAGGCTCCTCTGTCCATGGGATTTTCCAGGCAAGAATACAGGAGTGGGTTGCCATGATCTCCTCCAGGGGATCTTTCTAGCCCAGGCACTGAACCCACGTCTCCTCCATTGGCAGGCCGATTCTTTATCACTGAGCCTCCAGGGAAGCTCATTAGCACCTCCCAGGGAACATGAAGATAGTAAAGATGTGCAAATTTTGGCAATTGGTAGACCACAGACGTTTTGGGGGCTAACAAAAGTTATCAACCTTATCCCCATTAAATGTACATGTACAAATATTACCCATCATGTTTAGGGAGTTCGGGAATACCATAAGTCCCTATATATCAGGAAATAATTCAATTTTCTGAACAACAGTTATTTTTTGGCCACACTGTATGGCTTTTGGGATTTTAGTTTCTCAACCAGGGATTGAACCTGTGCCCCCTGAAGTGGAAGCACGGAGTCCTAGTCACTGGACCACCAGGGAATTTGTTCCATCTTATAAAATGGCTTCAGAATTGCTAGCTCTAGCTCACCACCCTGTGACAAAAAACTTACCAACTACTGTACATTATTTGTTTACAGTTCTTTTTATCAAAATCCTGTCTGTCAAAGATAATTAGACTATTTTCTTCCTCATCTCCTTAGTGCTATTCATTTGCAACACAGTTAGGTTTATTTGTTACTGTTTGCATTCCATTTGGGGTTTTACCCACATCCTTGTTTAATACATTTGTTTACCTTTTGAGTATGGAAAACACCCATGTAGCTCTAAAAGTCAAAACTACACAAAAAGAAATATTCAGAGAAATGTCACTTCAATCCCATGTCCCATTCTCACCCTTTCCCACCCATCTGTGCAGATAATCAGTTAAATATTAGTTTTTGGATTCATCCTTCCTGTATTTCTTCTTGCAGAAGTGAGAAGGCCCGTGTATATTCTTATACCCTCTTCTTTCTCACATGAAAGACAACATGCTATAGATACTCTTTTGCACTTTGCTTTTTTCGACTTGACAATATATCCTGGCAATCTCTCCAGGTCATTTCATGGAACTCTTCCTCATTTTTTTTTTTTTAATAGCTTCATAGTTTCCCACTGTGTCGATATACTATCAGTTCAGTTCGGTTCAGTCCAGTCACTCAGTTGTGTCTGACTCTTTGTGACCCCATGGACTACAGAAATCCAGGCCTCCCTGTCCATTACCAACTCCCGGAGTCTACTTAAACTCATGTCCATCGCATCGGTGATGCCATCCAACCATCTCATCCTCTGCTGCCCCCTTCTCCTCCCACCTTTAGTCTTTCCCAGCATCAGGGTCTTTTCCAATGAGTCGATTCTTCGCATCAGGTGGCCAAAGTATTGGAGTTTCAGCTTCAGCATCAGTCCTTCCAAAGAATACTCAGGACTGATTTCCTTTAGGATGAACTGGTTGGATCTCCTTATAGTCCAAGGGACTCTCAAGAATCTTCTCCAACACCACAGTTCAAAGGCATCAATTCTTCAGTGCTCAGTTTTCTTTATAGTCCAACTCTCACAACCATACATGACTACTGGAAAAACCATAGCCTTGACTAGACAGATCTTTGTTGGCAAAGTAATGTTTCTGCTTTTTAATATGCTGTTTAGTTGGTCATAACTTTTCTTCCAAGGAGCAAGTGTCTGTTAATTTCATGGCTGCAGTCACCATCTGCAGTGATTTTGGAGCTCAAAAAAAATAAAGTCTGCCACTGTTTCCACTCTTTCCCCATCTATTCGCCATGAAGTGATGGGACCAGATGCCATGATCTTAATTTTCTGAATATTGAGCTTTAAGCCAACTTTTTCACTCTCCTCTTTCACTTTCATCAAGAGACTCTTTAGTTCTTCTTCACTTTTTGCCATAAGGGTGGTGTCATCTGCATAACTGAAGTTATTGATATTTCTCCTGGCAATCTTGATTCCAGCTTGTGCTACATCCAGCCCAGTGTTTCTCATGATGTACTTTGCATATAAGTTAAATAAGCAGGGTGACAATATATAGCCTTGACGTACTCCTTTTCCGATTTGGAACCAGTCTGTTGTTCCATGTCCAGTTCTAACTGTTGCTTCTTGACCTGCATACAGATTTCTCAGGAGGCAGGTCAGGTGGTCTGGTATTCTCATCTCTTTAAGAATTTTCCACAGTTTGTTTTGATCCACACAGTCAAAGGCTTTGGCATAGTCAATAAAGCAAAAGTAGATGTTTTTTTGGAACTCTCTTGCTTTTTCGATGATCCAGCGGATGTTGGCAATTTGATCTCTGATTCCTCTGCCTTTTCTAAATCCCACTTGAACATCTGGAAGTTCATGGTTCGCGTACTATTGAAGCCTGGCTTGGAGAATTTTGAGCATTACTTTGCTAGTGTGTGAGATAAGTGCAATTGTGTGGTAGTTTGAACATTCTTTGGCATTGCCTTTCTTTGGGATTGGAATGAAAACTGACCTTTTCCAGTCCTATGGCCACTGCTGCATTTTCCAAATTTGCTGGCATATTGAGTGCAGCATTTTTTTTTTGAGTGCAGCTCTTTAACAGCGTCACCTTTTAGGATTTGAAATAGCTCAACTGGAATTTCACTAGCTTTGTTTGTAGTGATGCTTCCTAAGGCCCACTTGACTTTGCATTCCAGAATATCTGGCTCTAGGTGAGTGATCACACCATTGTGGTTATCTGGGTCATGAAGATATTTTTTGTATAGTTCTTCTGTGTATTCTTGCCACCTCTTCTTAATATCTTCTGCTTCTGTTAGATCCATACCATTTCTGTCCTTTACTGTGCTCATCTTTGCATGAAATGTTCCCTAGGTATCTCCAATTTTCTTGAAGAGATCTCTAGTCTTTTCCATTCTACTATTTTCCTCTATTTCTTTGCATTGATCGCTGAGGAAGGCTTTCTTATCTCTCTTTGCTATTCTTTGGAACTCTGCATTCAGATGGGTGTATCTTTCCCTTTCTCCTTTGCCTTTAGCTTCTCTTCTTTTCTCAGCTATTTGTAAGGCCTCCTCAGACAACCATTTTGCCTTTTTGCATTTCTTTTTTTTGGGGATGGTACTGATCACTGCCTCCTGTACAATGTCATGAACCTCTCTGCTCATAGTTCTTCAGGCACTCTGTCTGTCAGATATACCATAGTTTATCCTTTATTCATCTATGCATGGTATTTAGGTTGTTTCTCATATTTTCCAATTACAAATGATACTGCAATAAGTAAACTTGTGCACACGTATTTTCATATTTGGAGGTATATCTTCATGGTAAATTCCTAGAAGGACTGTTGGATCAGAAAACTGGTGTATATGTAGTTTTGTTCGATGCTGCCAAATCCCCCTTCAGAAGGGTTGTACCGTTTTTCATTCCCATCAGCAGCACGTGAGCATGGCTGGTTCTCCAGAGCCTCACCACAGAAATGTGCTAAGACTGGCCTCCACATGGACTGTGCCTGTACGGGGGCAGGGACAGGTACATTCACGCCACAGCACCCGGAACCCATCACTTGTCAAAAGCTCCACAGTTGACACCTGGGGCAGGTGGCCGCCATGTCTTCCCTACTGCACCAGCCTCCTGGTTCTTCCTATAGTCTTAGCTCTACACAGCAGCCTGTGATCCTTCAGAAAGATCATTCCCTGTTCCTAACTCTCCAACAGCTTCCCAGCCCACTTAGAACAAAACCCAGACAGATACCTTAGCCACTAAACCCTAAGAGTCTGGGCTCTGGTTTCGTCTCCTGCCACTCCCCTCTCCACTCACGCTGCCCCAGCCTCACTGGCATCCTGTGTGCTTGCTTGCATGTGCCAAGGACCTCTGCCTTTGGTGTTCCTTCTCCCCAGGATGCTCGTCCCCAGATACCCATGCGGCCCCTCCCTCACTTCCTTCAGAACTGCTCATGTCTCACTTTGGGTGACCCACGGGTTTCCCTGAACAGCCTGCCTAGAACAGTATCCCCACTCCATTCTCCACCTCCTCACCTTGTTTTACTTTCCTTCATGACACTCACCAACCCCTGCTATACGTAAGGCTCATGAGGACAGGAACTTTATTTTGGAATACAATGAGCAATCAATAAGTATACAGATGGTCCTTGACATACAATGGTTTGACTTACGACTTTCTGGCTTTCTGATGGTATAAAAGTGATACACACTCAGCAGAAAATTGACTGATCTTTTCTTGGCTACTGATACATGGAATAGGACTCTGTTGTGATGCTGGGCAGCAGTCACAAGCTTCAGCTTCCAGCCACGTGAACACAAGTGTAAACAACCAGTACACTTACAGTCACCCTGTACCCAGACAGCCATTTTGCTTTTCACTCTCAGTACAGTATTCAATAAATTACATGAGACACTCAACACCTAATTATAAAACTGGCTTGCTGATTGTTCAATATCTCTGTATAATGGTGTTACTTCTAGTGAAAGGAGATATGATGAAAAAACTGCAGCTGATTAGAATAGGATAAGTCATAAGCATGCTAAAATAATTACTACTCTAAAAACAATCCAAGCAAGCTCCCAGTTCATTGGGAAAGAGGAAGGGGAGGAAGGTAGAGAGAATGGTAGCTTCTGAATTAAGAGAAGTGATTGTCTACATACCTCCTTAGCTCCAAGAAGGTCATTCTGTTACTGTTCCTAAAGCTAGTCAGCAGAGCATCTGAAAACAACTTCTGATGCCCAGTTCCTAGAAATCTTCATGGCGCTTGCTCAGATATCTGTGCTTTCTAAACACTCTTACACTTGGAAGACTGGTTCTCTGGTAATTCATCTCTTTCCCTAAATCCTGTCCAACCAGCCTAGGAAATGGTGAGGAATGGAGTTTGTGAGATTCAGCTTCGTCCAAGCAGAAGACAGGGTGACCTGACTTAGGTTGAGAAGGAGCCAGCCCCTGCAGACTCTCAAATGTCGGCTACAACTTTAGGGGCAGCGAGTCACTGAGCTCTGGAGATGTCGTAACCGGTAAGACCAAACCAGGACAACAACTGAATAGTACCATGAGTCAGTGCAGTAGTTTAAAAGGGGCTTGTTTTCAAAGCTGTCTGCTGCAGAAAGCCAATGTGACATAATGGTCCAGGCAGTGCAGGGGGAGATAACACAGGGAAAGATGGTGAGTGAGGCAAAACGACCATGACCACGTCGGGCCAGCTAGACTTACTCACATGAGAGCTATAACTTAAAACTCACTCTCTAGCTAGACAAGGGAGTGTGTTAGTAGCTAAGACACCTGGGGGTTAAAAACATACGATACATTTCGCTCAGTGTTCAGGTGTGGCCATTCTGAGGTAGCAAACGTTATGTGAACAAGTAAGATTTTCCTCCTTTTCTGAGAACATCAGGGTGGGAAGTCAGTCCCTGTTCTCACTCTGCAAAGAATTCCTGGAAGTTCTTCCCAACTTTGCACAAATAAAAAGGCTGTAATCTTGCTTACCGTGTCTGCTGATAAACCGGATACAGCTTTCTACCACCAGAGGAATTGCCTGGCTGGAATCCTGAAAAGCCATAGAAACACAGCATTAGAATCTTCAGAGATAACTCAGGGTCAGAGAAAATGGACCAAAACTGTGTGGAGCTTATCTCAGCTGGACGAGAGGCCGAACTACAAGAAGCAACCAGCCTGTGCTCCAAGCCCCAAAGCACATGCACAACCATCTGCTTGGAATGCCTCACACCGAAGTCTTACGTTCAGCACATCCCATACAGAACTAGTCATCTTTTATTCCAAACCAGCTCCCCACCCCTGGCCATACAATCAATCAATAGATATATGTATTTTGCCTCCTAAATATCCCGTAAACCTATTTATTTCTCTCCATCTCTACAGCCACCAATCCAGTTCAATCCATCAGTATCTCCATTCCTACCTGTCACCCTACAAATCAGTTTTTCTTCCCTTATACATGGTTAAGTCAAGTTGCTCAGTCGTGTCCAACTCTTTGTGACCCCACGGACTGACTATAGCCTACCAGGTTCCTCCATCCATGTGATTTTCCAGGCAAGAATACTGGAGTGGGTTGCCATTTCCTTCTCCAGGAGGTCTTCCCGACCCAGAGATTGAACCCGGGTCTCCTGCATTGTGGGCAGATGAGTGATCTCTAAAAGTGCTGTGTGCTTAGTTGCTCGGTCGTGTCTGACTCTTTGCGACCCCATGGACTGTAGCCCACCAGGCTCCTCTATCCATGGGATTTCCCAGGCAAGAATCCTGGAGTGGGTTGCTGTGCCCTCCTCCAGTGGATCTTCCTGACTCAGGGATCGAACCCCCTCCAGTGGATCTTCCTGACTCGGGGATCGAACCTGGGTCTCCCGTATTGCAAGTGCTTTAAAAGTGCACATTTCATCAGCTACTCTCCAGGCTAAACTCTTTCAAAGACCTCTCGTTATTTTCTGTACACAGCCTGTGTGTCTGGGGTCGCATCTTATCCAGGTCTGCCTCCTTCTGCTCCTCCCCCAACTCTGCTTCAGCCACACTGGCCCCTCTTCACCTCCTCAGTAAGTCCTCCTTTGCTCATGGATTTGAGGGAGTCATTCCTGCTCCTGGAAGCTCTCTTCACCCTGGACCCCCACCCACACAGTCTCAGGACAAATATCACTTCCTTAGGGCTGCTTTTCTAGACTCTCCAGATGAGATCAAAGCCCCTGTCTATGGGGTCTCAGTACCTTGGCCTTGGCCTTCACACCATGATTATGACTTAATTGTGTGGGTATAAATATTTGCTTGCATTTTGTCACCATCACAGTTCGCGTTCCACAGGGCAGCCCCTGTATCAGTTGTTGGTGTCCAGTGCTGGCTAGGATGGTCTCACAGAGCAGGTGTTCAGTTAATATCAGTGGAAGGCAGCAGAATGAATCCACAGGAGCATTAGAATGGGGACTTGTTTGGTATGAAAGGCAAGAAAGAAAAAACCAACTCTTGGACACAGTGGAGACTAACTGGTACTAAACTAAGGCCTCCCAGACATCCATCTTTGCTCTGCCATTTTGCTGGAAAACGCTGCCATATATTTAACTTCTTTGGGCCTTAACTTGATATCTACAAACTGGGGAGGGGTTTGTGGTGAGGAGGGTAATATTGGCACATGAACATGCTGCTGCTGCTAAGTCACTTCAGTTGTCCGACTTTGTGCGACCCCATAGACAGCAGCCCACCAGGCTCCCCTGTCCCTGGGAGTCTCCAGGCAAGAACACTGGAGTGGGTTGCCATTTCCTTCTCCAATGCATGAAAGTGAAAAGTCAAAGTGAAGTCGCTCAGTCTTGTCCGACTCCTAGCGGCCCCATGGACTGCAGCCTACCAGGCTCCTCCATCCATGGGGTTTTCCAGGCAAGAGCACTGGAGTGGGGTGCCATTGCCTTCTCTAGCACATGAACATAGTGCTTTGCACTTACAAAAGAATTCTTTTGTCGGGTCATGTATTAAGTGATTTAAATGGGTTGTTCCTGATAACAACCCTATGGGGTGTGCATTAATATTATCCTCAACCCTATTGGGTATGTATTAATATTATCCTCATTTGACAAATGAGGAAATGAAGGCTTAGCAAGGTGAAATAGCTGCTTATGGACACAGCTGGTAAGCAGAGGAGCCAGGATTTGAATCCGGGCAGTCTCCCCCTGATACCAAAAATCTCTCTACCATCCATACTGCATCCCAGGAGCTTAGCAAACATAGCCAGGTGTGAATACCAAATATTACTGAAAATCAGCAGCGTTTTCTAATGCAGCTAAATGCATTAATAACTCAGCTCTAAGGAAGAAAGGGATCAGGCAGAATTACTTTAAACCTAGCTAGAAAGGGCTTTGGGCCTCCCTGGTGTCTCAGTGGTAAAGAATCCCCCTGAAATGCAGGAGACCTGGGTTCGATCCTTGGGTTGAGAAGATCCACAGTGGGAGGACACGGCAACCCACTCCAGTATTCTTGCCTGGGAAATCCCATGGACAGAGGAGCTTGGAGGGCTACAGTCCATGAGGTCGAAAAGAATCAGACACGAATGAATGACTGAACAACACAACAGAAAGGGCTTTAGATGTTCAGGACAGAGACTAGGTTCTCCATTGGGGTGGGTCCTGTGACTTCTGTCCATTTAACAGGTTTGTTTGTACCCCTCTCCTGGCTCTGAATTTTCTACTGTAGCCAGGAATTTGGCTGCAATCAGGAAAGCAACTGGCTCTCATGAAGAAGCCAGGGTGACAGAAGAGTCCGCTCCCAAGTGTGCTGGGAACCCATGATGCTGTCACAAGGAGTGGAGTGAGTAAAGGTGCAGCTGGAGTCAGGAAGGTCTCAGCGACCCAAATGCCCATCTCATGACCCCAGACCCGTCTGCTTCCTCTAGCCTTCCAGCTTCAGTAGCCAGGGTCTGCCTTCTTGTTGCCATCACTAATTATACCAGTCAACCTAGGGTGATTTCACGGGAAGAATTTTCATCAGCTTAATGGGTTCCACAATAAAAAACTCCCAAACCCCATTTTTTGGAGGTCTTTTCTATGTTTACAAACATTATTATACTTGTCATTTACAAATAGTAGCAGTAGTGATGAGGACAATGACATGAGTGTATGTAAAGTTTTTCTGGCCTTAAGCTTAAACATAAAAAAGATCCAGAGGGAGGGAGGTCGGGCAGCACAAGCTCTGGGCTTCAACGAGTTGTGTGAGTGCACAATCCTGCCTAGACTTGTGGGAGAAGGGACATCAATGGTAGTTAAAGGGAAGTGTGCAGGGTTGCAGAAAGCAGAGCACCAAAGATATTAAGCTGCATGTCCGCAGCTACCAGTGGTACATCAGAAGCAGTTCAGAGGATAACCTCTTGCAGACAGGAGTGCACCAGAGGGGACCTGTCTTACTGCAGAGGCATATTTTTCCCAGTCCCCACTGCTCCAGTGGAGAAAGTCATGAAGGCTTCAGACTCTCTTCTTGTAATATTTCTGAAGTCTGAGTGAATCCATTTCCCCAGGACATGCCCGGTGAGGACTCTCACTTCACCGTCGATCATGCTGCACACAGCGGACTGGGCACGGTCTGTGTATTCCTATTCCGTGCCTGTCTCTCCCTTTCTTCCGCTCCCCTTCCCTCCTCCAGGGTTAGAATCCAAGTTAGCTTAATTCTTCTGATTGTAGTCTTTTTGGTCATATAAGCCCAGGATTGGAAGGGGTCTTGAAGGATAATTGGGTCAAATCCCTATTCAATCAGAAGAAAGGAACTTTAAACCAAAAGTGGAGGGAGAAACATAGCAAACACAACTTGGGAAAGATGATAAAGCATGGGCTCAGTGATTTGCAGGGGAAAACAATCAAGAAGGTGGCCAGAAAATGTCTAAATGTGCCACCGTTTGGCATAATTCCTCGCACGGGGATTTCACCGTTACTGAACTTTGATACACTTGTTAGATTTCCACTTTTACCAGGGGAGAAAACACTTGATTAGATGTCGGTAATAAGGAAAAAAGAGGCATCAGTGTTCCCATGTGGGGCTTCAGGGATTGTGAAGAATGGAGGGCCCCCCATAAGAGAAGGAGAGAAATAAGGAGAGGTGCTAGGGAACTGAAGATGTGGCTGGGAAGCTGAGGAGCTAGGCACTGAGGGTGGGGTGCCAATTCAACTCCCGAGCACAGACGTCCTGCCTCTCACTTAGGAGTTAGATACAAAGACTCCGAACAACAGCACTATAGAACAAGTGGATGCTCCGGGAAGGAGAGAGGCAGATTCACCTAAGGCAACACAAGTGACAAGGGAAAGAGTATGGAAGGAAGTCAAAAGAGGACCAAACCATGGGGAAATGCCTACAATTCGAGAAACAGAGAGATGGGCCAGCAAAGAAGATATGGAAGTAACAGGAAAGAGAAAATTCTGGGCTTGATGGGAGCAGGGAAAGCTTAGAAAAAAGCAGTTGAGGCTTTTTTTTTTTTTTAAAGAAAAGTCAGATGGTTTGATCCCAGGTTTTGCTAGAGTCAAAAATGACTGGAACCCATTGGGGATCCTCAAAAACAAAAGCTACCAGGTTCTTCTTCTTGTTTGGCCGATTTGCCATAAACAACCAAACAAATTTTATTTCCTGGTTACTTATACAAGATTATGCCTCTTCCAAGTTACTTACTATTTACTTTCCTGAGTATTTTAGAAAAACACTGACCCACCATTATATTTGACCCGCTGGGAAAAAAGTGAATGAAAACAAGGTCTTCACTTGATTGGGGTTTTTGGCGCACCTGGGAACCCTTACATGAATCTAGCACCAGGTAAACGTGCTAAGCACAGCAGGCTGAAAACCAGATGGGCGCCACTCCTCTCTGATTACAGTCCAACCAGGGACACGCACCACCAAATTGCGGATGCCAAATTGTGGCCTCTGGCACTCCTGCAACCAGAGAGGAGTCCTCCCACCCAGGCCCCATCTCCTCATAGGAGGCTCAGTTTCAGTCCAGGAAATGAAAGGAACAAACTTCAAGTTCAATCCTGTTCTTACTTTTGAAGAAGGGGGTGGTGGGGGTGGGGTGGGGTGTGGGGCTTGCTCCCTCTTTAAGATATCCACCTATTAATTTTAAATGTAATAAATGGTCTCTGAGAGGCACTTCATTCCTCTCTAGCTTTAAATGAAGTTATGAAAGAAAGGGGAAGAAAGAAATAGAGGAACAAGAGGAAAGAGAATTGCAATGACATTTTTGTAATTTAAAAAATGTGTAATTGCATCTGATGGTGTTCTCATTAAAAGGAGATCCAAAAGAGAGAAGGGAAAGAAACCGTGACCACAAAGCAAAGGCAAGTGCGGCTGTGTTATCAACTTCCCCAGCGGGACGGCCCAGCCCGCTGAAGCAGTGAGATTGGCCAAAGACCCTGCAGGGGCTGCCACGGCCACAGAAACCACGTGCCCTCGACATCCCATTATCTCCCTGTGGCTACAGCCACTGCGAATTACCCAAAACGATTTTTTAGAACCTGGATCAGCTTTCCCTTGAGTAGACACAAAGACATTTCTGAGCTCTCTCCACCCCCTCCCTGCTAACTGTTGACTGCATAGCTGGTACAAGCTTAGGGAATACAAAACCATTTTAGTATTTGCCATAAAGTATAATTAGGAAGTCAAATTTGTGACTGCAAAAAAAACAAAAACAAAAAACACCCAAAACTTCAACTAATTTTTTTTTTAAACAAGCACAAGTGCTGTTTAGATCACCCACTGATACAGACTGCTGGTGCTGTGGTAAGACCCCTCCTAAGGTGGGTTGTGAGAGCTAGCTGCTCAAGGCTCACTGTCAGATTTTAATACAACACTGAAGATAATGCACAAAACTGCAGAGTTCAATGTCTCCTGTTTATCATTCCCAGACCAGACTTAATCTTTACATTTATAGCATGTCTTAGAAATACATATAGGACAACCGTGAAACCAGAAACAAACAAAAATCTGCAGATTTGGTCCAGGTATTAGCTGCTGTGAGTTACTGACACATTAGTACCTATGAATGAAATGTGAGGCCTCTTTCGTGGTCTCCTAGAGAAGGGGCGCCACTCCAAAGACAGTTCTGGCCCAATCTGCCACAGTCAAACCAGATTCCTAGTATGTAAGAGAGAGTAAATGGCTAGAGAGGAGAGAACCGAGTCAGAAAGCTACCCATCCTTGCCCTACTAAATCAATGAAGTTGCCGCAACATTAAACAGACTATGACTAAGGGGCTTCCCAGATGGCACTAGTGGTAAAGAACCGGCCTACCAATGTAGGAGACATAAGAGACGTGGGTTCAATCCCCGGGCTGGGAAGATCCCCCACAGAAGGAGATGGCAACCCACTCCAGCATCTTGCCTGGAGAATTCAATGGAGAGAGGAGCCTGGTGGGCTATAGTCCATACGGTTGCAAAGAGTCGGACACGACTGAAGCAACTTAGCACGCACACACTGTGACTAAACTGTACATTCCAAAGGCTAGCATGAAGTCAGCAAAGTGTCTTCCCCATCCACCATGGAACTCTGTAAATATCTGGGGTGTCACCATTTTTGCCAGACACACCTGGCTCTTGCAGGGCCCTTACCTGTTTCCTCACCGTTGAGCTACGCCTGTGGCCAATGGGGAGGAAAAAGAGAAAACGGGATTAAAAACAATCGGTGAGGTGGCTAATGAAATAAGTCACATTAATCAGCTCAGGTCCAGAGTGACTAAGAGACTTGATAAGTTACCTTTCAAATAAAGCCCAATCAAGTGCTTTTCACAAAAGCTTAGCGGTCTCTGCTTTTAATGTCTGCCAGCATTCAAAAGGAGACTCGGAGGGAACTGGCTCAATTTGCAGTAAAATACGTATGGGTTAGACAACAGGAAGCCCTCTGTGTGCAAGGAGACACTAATAAACACCAAAGGAAGCTACGGTTTTCTTTCTTTTGAAAATCCTTAGGGAAAAGGTAGGGAGTGATTTTCCTGGAATTTAGAGGGTAGAGGGTCCAGACTGGAAGGAACCTTGGTGATTCCATAGCTCAGTGCTTTTCAGGCTGTGTTTAGCCTTGGAAGCCTTTTCTCCAAGGGAATCTGATTCAGACAGCAACCTCCTGAGCAAGGAGAGCAGCTCTACCTCTCTGAGCAAAGGCAGGACGCAGGGACCAGGGCCGGGCTGCTGGGCACCATCTGCCCCTTCCACTAGGCTGCTCCTAAGGAACTCTCTGGGATCCTAGAGCTTCCTGGGTCTAGGTGAATGCTCTCTCTTGTCTCATAGATGAGGAACTGGAGTTCAGAGAGGGCAAGAGAACAGCCCAAGGTCACAGTGAATAACCCAGCATAAGGAAATTCAGCTCAGCTCTTTTCGCTCCTATAGAGCCTTCCGCAGATATGGAACTTCAGGTGAACTCAGACTAAGACTCTATCACCAAGAAGATAGAGTCCACAGAATTCCATTATCCTGGTTCCCTCCAGTCAACAAGACTACTATATTAATGGGATCTTTATTGTAATCCACAATGACAAAACGATGAAAGGCAAATGAAGGTATTTTTGAATAATGAGCCTATAATTGTAAACGACCTCATGATTATTGTATGTGCTGGCAGTGGTTTATATAATGGGCTAACCAGGGGTCTCTAAGGAGTCCAGCTCATTAAAGCTCTTTCCCCTGTTAAATCAGCACATTTGTAGGCATCTGAGAACCACTGGCTGAATGAAAGACTCGCTATCCGCCAACTCATGCGTTTTCTCATAGCAGCTCCATGACTGAGAGGGAAAATATTTGGCTGGGGTGGGGGAGGGCGGGGAAGGTGGGGAAGACTGGGAGGGCTGCATACTTGTACATCAGGCGAGGATTTGTATCAATGCTGTTGGCGAGCAATGCAATGTAATATTTCATTATCCAGTGACACTCACTATTAGAGGCTGTCATCTTTTCCATGTATAAAAAAAATTCTCAGGTCAAATGCTCTCTTTTGATCTTCCTTCCCTGGGTCAGAGACTTCCCAAAACCCACATGTTGAAGTCTAGACACTCAGGTGAGGTTACCAGGGTCCTCTAGCATTGACCATTTCAGGTCACTGGGACTATTTCAGCAAATGGTGATTCCCTTCACTCAGTTCTGCTCAGCAAACCTCATTTCCATTTGAGGCCAGATGGGGTCAGCAAGGCAAAGGGATGGAAGTCACCTCAGCCCTAGGCCACTCCTCTGCAGAGCCATCCAAGGTTGCTAGCTCAGCACCTTGGCTCTTCACTTGCCCAGGGTCTCTCTCCATCCCCCCCACCCGCCCCAGGGCTGTCCCAGGCCACACCTACCTGGCCAGACTGCAGTCTGTCCGCTGACCTGTTGGAAAGACAGAGGCAAAGAGCATGTGTTGAAGCAAATGAGGTGAAAGGGGAGATCTGCTCCCAGGAATGACAGTGTCTGCCCATCTCCTCAGGAAGCCTCTAGCCTCACGCTGTGACTAGATTTCCAGGCGAAACAGAAGATAGCACCCAGGGACTCTTTCTGGGGCTGTTAATGACGCTTGTTCCCAGCCCAGGGCTGCTGTGTCCTGAAACGTCTGGCTTGCCAAGTCTGCTTCCCAGTGGGGAAATGGGTGGACACAGGGGAAAAATAGTAATGAGGATCATACCTTAGAGAACAAATTATTAGAAACCTTCCCAGAGATAAAATTCAGCTTTTCTTCTCTGTGTACTGATGTGTGTATGGGGGGGAGGGGGGGGGGACAAGCTTGCTTGCCCTTCAGTATATGAATACACACACACACACACACACACACACACACACACACACACACACACTTGTGCTTGAGGGTGGAGGGTAGAAGAGGAAGAAGGAAGAAATAGTTATTTGGGGAGAATATGCTCCATATGTGGAAGCTCTTGTTTTAGATTCATAGTAAATCCTCAGTGCCAGCAGGTTGGGTTGTATGATATTTAAGATGCTGATACTGCTATTAGACTGGGGTTCTCAATCCAACAGTGGGCCCTAGTACTAAATTGAAAGGATCACAGCCAGCCTTAAAAAATGAGATTGAAGATCTTAACATTCATCTGAAGTATTCTTATGCTTTTAAAAACTTGGGCCATTATGTAATCTGTGTTGCTTTTTTTGGGTCCACAGTTAACCAAGCTTGGTCTGTATGAGACTGTATTAGATACACCAGGGAAACTGTAAGCAAGAACTGAGCTGGAGGACAGATCAGCTCCCACATTCCTGGAAAGGCAACTGCAGGGGCGGGGGGAGGGCAGGGCTCTATCTTGCCTTTAAAGGTTGCTAATTGTTGATTACAGTTCAGCTCATCTTGAACAACACTCTCCCCCACCCCAACAGTCTCTCTTACTAAAGGCTCAGCTTTCATCTGCAAAAATATTATTCCGAGCCATTATTTCCAACATCTGTCCCATTTCCATTCTGGAATATTCATACACATCAATTATCCCTCTGTGGCAAGAACAAGGGGCTCTTACGTTTTGATGACAAATGCATACATAAGGCAGGGACATGATGACTTGCACACAGGAAGATCTATTTTTTTCCTTATTTCCGGAACTTGTCAATGAAGTTCAGTGTCAATGAAGGCAATATGCAGCACTAATGAACGGTCGCCAACCTTCGCCCCCTGTAGTAGCACATTTGGTATATGCATGTGTGTTGCAAACCCATTCTCTCTTGCATACACACACATACACACACACATTCACACAGTCTCTGTCACACTGTGAGGCTTGTTCCCCATCTCACTTATGGGTCATGCTTAGACTATCTTGGCAAAAAGAAATCACAGTTATAACTTGTTTCAAATAGTTCTGGGCATTCTTTCCTCTGATTCCCCATGGAGCAGTCTGCTAACCCAAGAGTAAAGACTTTCTGTAAGCAAAGTTTAGACCTGTTCAGCCTGAGTCCCATGGGTGTGTATGTGGGGTGGGGGGTGGGGTTGGGGGGAGAATAAAACAGAATTTACTTAACAGGCTTTCATCACATAAAAGAAAATGCATTAAAATCACAAGATCAAAGACATTAGAGATAAAAGAATTAATCACCAGGGGAATCGTTCAGGGCAGGAGAATAGGGTAAGAAGGGTGGGTTAGGAGGCTCTGGAATGGAAAGTGGGGCTCTGAATCCTGGGGCCTTTGAGCCAATGAGCGCTGTACACTTGCCTAGATTCTGCACTCGGTCTGAGAAGAGCTCAAGAATTGATTTGAGAACATCCGACCTCGGTGCAAATGCAGGTTTTGCCTTTCACTGTGGGTACTCCCTGTCCCCGCCCCCATCTTTAAGCGAGGAGATCAGTGGGGCAAGGAGGAGGGGGCAGGGCATTCAGAGGCATCCCCAACCTGGGAATCCCATTAATCAGAGGATGCTGAGAGCTGGGCAGGAGACCTGGGCAGGCTGCCAAAAACCCCAGGGAAGCTTCTCTTTCAACTTCTGCCTTCTGTTTGACAGCTGAGGAGAAAGTCCAGAGTGCCAGTCCAGTCCTCCTCCTTGCTACTTTCCAGGGTCTGATTAAAATCATCTTATGAGACCAGACAGTCCGCTCAGCACCAGAGCCTCCGCCTGGCCAAATCAAGGAGGAGGCCACCTCCGAGCCCCAGGGCCCTTCAAAGCACGAGGAAACCACTGCCCACCCTGACGCTGCTGACAGCTGCAGTCTGCCCCGCACCTGCCCTCGGGACGCCTCTCCTCCACTCAGAGCAGCTGTGACGCTCACCTCACAGCTCCCCACCCTCTAGATCCAGCCTCCGTCCTGCCACAGGGGAGCTGAGAGTTTGACCAGAGGGCCTGGCGAGGAAAGAGCCCATCAGCTCCTTGACCCTGGTAGTAGCAGAAGAGGTACAGGAGGGGGCAGAGAGCAGGCACGCTCAATTGAAACAAGTAGCTGATGCGCACTGGTGCTTCATTAAGCACTGGCCTTTCCCCATTACTCAAGCAGTCATCTGGGGTGTGTGCTTCCACATCGAACAAGCGAGGAAAAGCAATGTGTTCACATAACCAGACTGGGGCCACTTTGCTGAGGAGGGAGGCATGCGCTCAGCACTAGGGCCAAGACCCGGCCTGCTCCTTGCTGCCAGATCTCCCGCAGAGCCCACACTCACTCTCTCCCAGGGTTTTCTGGAGAAGGTCGTGCTTGGCTTGTAGCTTGGTGATGAGGTTCCTGCCCTCCAGGTACTCCTTCATTTTCTGTAAGGGAAGAGGAGGACACAGAACATTCAGGCTCCAGAAGGGGAGGAAAAAAAAAAATCACAGACGCTCAGCCGTACAATTCCCTTTCTAAGAGGGCTTTTGGTTTCTGACCCAATTTCTACCGGGTTCCTTTTTAATTTTTTTGAAAGGCCCTGAGCATCTGAGCAGCTGCTGATTTTCCTGGTGGATTAGTGTCCTGCTTTATGTCTTCCTAGGAGCTCCACGTCGGCCACTGAAAGAAACTGTCTCCTTGAGCCCCGCATCCATCTTTTTCAGCTCCACCGAGGAGCTGTGGGTGGAGGGACTCACTGAGCCCCGCCTTCCTGGGGTGAGGACACACACCTGTGGCTGGTCAGCTTGTCCCCTCTCCCGACACCCACCCCTCCAGGCCCCTCCCAGGGTGCATTCCTTCACACCAGGATCAGTGTCAAGGCTCAGCCCCGCCCTCGCTCAGAGCATCTCTGTCTGAGCCTTATTTTAATCGGCCTGCTCCTCTATTCTGCATGGAGTCTCTGCAGCAAGCTTGGGCTTTCTGAGCGCCCAGAGGGAGGGGCTGCCACACCCCGCTTGCATAACACACACTGGAGGTTCCAAACACAGATGAGGTTTATGGAAACGCGACCCATCTGCTCTAACAGTCAAAAGGACTGCTGCACTGCGCTTTGTGACCGACTTCTCTCAACCCTTGTCTCTCAGTGAGAGGCTGTATTTCCCTGGACAACTCAGCCAGTCTTCAAAACAACTCTATGAACCATGATAACTATTATCTCCATTTCATGGATGAGATTTGGGGAGATTCAGTAAGTGGCTTTAGGTCAAACAATTAGTGAATGCTGGAGCCAGTATCCATATATGGAGTTTGGCAATACAATGTGTGCTTTTATTTTTTAATTTATTGTTTGGCCACGCTGCACGGCATGTGGGATCTTAGTTCCCAGACCAGGTATCGAACCTGCACCCACTGTAATGGAAGTTCAGAGTCATAACCACTGGACTGCCAGGGAAGTCCCCAATGTGTGCTTTTAATCATTATGATAAAGTGCTCGGTCTGCTATGGTGCAGAGCAGAAGAAGGAGAGAAGCAGAATAAAACCAGTTTTTAGAGTACTTTAGCATGCATTTTGTTGGAGAAGACTCTTGAGAGTCCCCTGGACTGCAAGGAGATCCAAGTAGCCCATCCTAAAGGAGATCAGTCCTGGGTGTTCATTGGAAGGACTGATGTTGAAGCTGAAACTCCAATACTTTGGCCACCTCATGTGAAGAGTTGACTCACTGGAAAAGACCCTGATGCTGGGAGTGATTGGGGGCAGGAGAAGAAGGGGACGACAGAGGATGAGATGGCTGGATGGCATCACCGACTCGATGCGCATGGGTTTGGGTGGACTCTGGGAGTTGGTGATGGACAGGGAGGCCTGGTGTGCTGTGGTTCATTGGGTGGCAAAGAGTCAGACACGACTGAGCGACTGAACTGAACTGAACTGAAAGCATTTGACTCCCAGGATAACTGCATACAGCCCACAGGGACGGCATCATTGCTTCCTTACTGTAGATGAGGACAGACAGTGGGTACTGCTGATTGCTGCAAGCCTGTAAGTGGTGGTGCCAAACCCGGATCCCAGGTCTTTGGACTCTTCTTATGGTGTCTTTCCCACCCTGCCCCACAGCTGTTCACGGGCATCTCAGTTTGCCTTGGATGTCTTCTGCTGCAATGGTTCATCTGCTGGGTCAGGGTCATCTGCCCACCTCTAAACTCAGAGGCAAAATGGCAGCGTCTCCCCGAGTATGATCATCTGTGAATCACTGGTGATCCATAAAGTAGTTGAAGGGGTAAGTGGATATAACACTTAGAATGATAATTGTTCTGTCTTTTTTTTTTTTTAATGTACTAACCAAAAAGTATAGATCAAGCCTTTGGGGTGAAAGTAGAAAGAAAAGGTGAAAAAAGTGTGAGTTATTTTTAATCTCTCTACCTTTCCGTACAGGTTGAACTTTTAACAGAGTGCATATTTCTCTCTTTCCCTTATAAAAACAAAGAAAAACTCAGCTTTCTCTGGGATGGTCATCTTCACCCTCCCACATTCACCCAGATGCTCCTGTGTAGACCTTGGCAAATCTCTGACAGCATTTCTCACCCAGCCCTGTCACGGAGGCTTTGTTGCTCCTTCTCTTTCCCTCCAGATGGTCTCCTCTCTTTGGTCGGAGACCATGGCATTCATTATTATTTGCGCCCCTGATACTTAGTACTGTGCCCAGAGGATAGCAGACACTCAACAAATCCTTGAAAATTAGTGAATAAATGAACAGTTTCACTGTCCTCTGGCTAGAACCTTCCTCAGCAGTGACAAACCATGCCTCCAAGTATGCCCCTACTCTCTGAATTAAATAGAAGACAAAAACCAAGCCCTACGCCAGGTCATTTCTGCCGCTTTCCTCACGACCTGTTCCCTCTGCTCCTTTGTGATTCTGCACGAGAACATCTGCTTAAAAGCAGGCTCTGTAGTCTCCTTCCTCATCCTGTCTGCTCCAGCTGCCAGCTCACCTGCTGTCAGTCTTCCCGGAGTGACGCCCTGATCCACAACCAATGCCGACTGTGGGGCTTGGAGCAGCACTTCAGGGCTCAGCGGTAACACGCCCTCGGGAAACACCCATTGTGAGCATCTGAGCAGCCAGAGGCCCCTCTTTGGAAGTTCATTCCAAGGAGATGCTAAGGGTTTCTTAATGAGGGAAAATCCGCCCATTGTAACCCTTAACATGAGACCAGAGTGCTCAGAAAACAGCCCAAATTCTAAAAGGAGGAGGCAAACTCCTTCCTGTCACTCATGCGTATACTTGTGATTTCAGAAATCATTTTTTTCATTCATGTTCACAGTTCGCTGCTTAACTCCGGCTGTCACTCGGTGAACCATTAAAATAAATAACAATCTGATAAAGAGGTATGATGAATTACCTTTTCGGGTTCCACTAAATCCTGAAGGATCAAAAACTGTGTCAAGGTATGACCTGCATCCCTAATAATGGAAACAGTGGTTGGAAGTTTTCCATCTGGGTAAGCTGGGTATGCAGAGGTAAAAGCATCCTATTTGCAGGCATATCATTTATCACTTTCCTGTCCCGCCCATAAAGCACTCATCTCTACAAGAGGTCGGCTGGTAGAGTAACCAGGCTTTCCTGTGGGAGCTTGCTTAGACGGATTCAAGTGCTGCCGTCCTGACATAAAGCCAAGGAAGAAGGCAAGGGAGGAAGGTGGCTTTTCAATGATTTCTGGAGACCAGGGGCCCGGAGAAGAACTGTTCACGGCTAATTTCAAAATCCTTCCTTGGGCAATGATGGTCACTTTCCTTATCTAAACCATGTCCCAATATTAGGTAATTATTTTTCTTTCATTCCACTTCCTCTACCCTGCTCCTCTCCCCAAACATCTAAAGGTAAAGTGATCACCTGGACTTTTCCTCAGTGGAGAAGAAAGAAAAGGATCACGGTCAATTCCAGATCACCAAAATGAAGTCAAATTCCTAAAACACAGCCTGACTGCCACACCCCATGAGCTGCTCCTACCCACCCCCACTCCCATCATGTAACACTCAGTATTACCAAAACTGAGAATTTCTTCCAAAAGTTGAAGGGGAAGCAAGAGTCTATTGGATGATTTTGGTTTTTGTCATTGTGAACCTTCAATTCCGTTTTTATGATCTCATTAATTTCTTTCCTAATAATTCTTAATTTAGTATTAACAGTCAGTGATGAGTTTTATTCATTGAAAAGGATTAGTATGATAATTTTTCTTTCTGAGCCCACCATCCCTGACAGACATTTTAACTGCAGTAAGATGAAGAAGGCTAAGTTGGTATATTTGAGTCCCACCACTTGCTAACTCTTCTGACCTTGGGCAAGTCACTTAATTCCCAGAACTTAAGCTTCCCTAACTGGAAAATGGGGATAATACCTTTTTTCACAAGGGTGTTCAAGATGAAATAAAGATAACAAACATGACTGTGATTGACGCCAACCAGCAGATACTTAAAAGTGCTCCTTATACAGAATCACTTGGTCAACTAACTGAAAAACAGCCCTTCCCTAAATTTCTTTGCTCTATGCTAATACTTAAGAAAGCTTGGCAGTTCCCTGGTGGTCCAGTGGTTAGGACTTTCACTGCCAAGGGCGTGGGGTTCAATCTCTGGTCGGGGAGGTGAGATCCTCACGCCACGTGGTGCCACCAAAAACAAAAAGAAAACAAACTCAAAGCAGGTTTCCAGCCTCTAAAAAGAAAAAAAGGAGGCACAAGAATGGTTTTCAAATTTAATTTTAAAACGCCTCCTCCCTTTAAATATATTCTTACCATGGTGCTATACAACTCATGGACCTTGCCTATGCATTAAATTTAATCTGTGAGCCCAAGGTCACAAGTCTCCACCATGATGAGAAAGGGTGGCGGGAGGAGTGAGCTGTGCCTAGTCAGCCCCGTGCAGTGCACAGAGATTCACAGGTGTCATTACTGGGCCTTCTTCCCCACCAGCCAAGCACATTGACATTTCCCCTCCTGCCCGTCAATTTTTGAAGCCGGAAACAGCTGTCAGACAGAATACGTAACAGAGCAAATCTTTCAACAGGAGTATATCTCCCTACTTAAATTGACATGGCAGGGGCATTTATTCATTTATACCCACTTAGTACACACTTATCATGTATCTGTTTATTCTTGGAGAATACCAAGAAAAAAAAGATCTTGGACCACACCAAGTCTAGCAGCCTTAGAGCACTGTCTGTTCAATGGTCAAGGAACAGACTCCTCTACAGCTTCTTACCTTACCCGAATCTGTCCCCCCAAGTTCAGGCAGCCTAGTTTTGTTCATTTTATAAAAAAATTCATCCCCATTTCATCCCCCATTCAAGAATCCCATACTCCAATCCTCACACAAGGAAATACCTGTAGGGTCTGACAGTACTTAGCTGGTAGTGAGCAAACTAGAGATCTCTTCACAAAATTAGAGATATGGAGGG